GTTCTACCTTGATTCCTGCTGGTTCCGAATAAGTGCGACGGGGGCCTTAAGTCGCATACCAGTTCAAATATCCCTCGAATGTGATCAGAATGTTTTGAATGTTGTCGGAATGCCGTGAAAATATAAAGAATGCAGTCACAGTGCTGTTAGAATACTATTCAAATGGCATTTGATAATTTTCCACTTGGAATGCGCTTCGAAAGTTTTTAACATTCAGGACGACCATAAGAATGGGTAAAACTATTTGAAATGCACTCAGAATTTTTCGAATGCTCTTTGAATATCCAGGAATGCACAAAGAATTGTCTTTCCGACGGCATTCTTGTTCATTCTGCCTCTAGTGTGACGGGGGTATTAGCATGCATTACATGAAAATGAATTTTCTTTTTCTGCTTGCAAATGAAAATATTTTACTAATTCTAACTCCTGCTTCCCTTTCAAAGACCAACGTTTTTTGGAGTTGTTTTTTGTGTACAACATATACACGCTGTCTGTCTACCTATCCGATTTAAGCATGTAGCAGCTACCTCATGGCAGGAATAAACATGGCTGCTTGCTAGCATATGGACTGAAAATGTCAACATAAGTTTTGAGTAGATATCAAGACCAACCGTAACACAAGCTGATTTTCAAATACATCTCAACTTATATTCATGTCTTTTCAACCATGTATAACTAGCTTGTCTTAGGCAGGAGCTTTATCCTCAACTTATTGTGAGATTTTTCTTTCAATCAGCACTACTTGTAAGAATAAAGCAATCAAAATATTGATCTCAAACAATGATAGGCCACTTATTGTCTTTCCTTTTTTACACTGGCACCTTCCGTACCCAATTACAAAATTGCACAATTGTCACTATAATAGATGTGTAACATTTTACGTCAGAACTTCCCTAAAACACACATGAATATTTGACAATGTCATTGTGGCATTAATTTTCTATATTTCAAATTAAAAAATATTGTTTTCGGTGGATCAAGACCCTAACTTTGATTTAGTATCAATCTTTTCATTCATTCACAATTTATTTTTCATGTACAAAGGTGGGCACTTTTACCCTCTTATCTGCACTCATCCTTTTATTTGGGGAACAATTTTCATTTAATGCATACGATTCAGAAGAACAAATTACTTTCAGTAATCGGCCCGTTTGAACACAAAGGCCGCATTAAGTTAACAGTGAACCATCCAACTAGTCAGAGGGTCAAATATGGCGACCCACTAAAAAGCTTGCTGTCTAATCCACTAATCGACATTAATAGATTCCCATGGGGAAGTATTCAAGTAGGTGAGCCATGTTTGACCCTTATCGACGACCCACACATAACCCTCCATGAGCACGTAATTTTCGTGTTTACGTTAACGTAAACATTCATCTATCTTTAAGCAATTACCTTAGCACGTGCATGTACAAACATACTAGCAAATTGATAAGCACGCACGTACACGTCCGTTCGCGCCCTTTGCTTGCCACATCCTTACCTGAAGTCACATAATGCCTGCGAGCTTGATGTATTCATGCGTACTATTTGTGCTTTTTTGTTGATCCCTTTTGTTAACAGACGCCCATATTGATTCTTATAACTACGCAGTTTGAAATGAAAGTAACCGTTTATACGGCGGCCATACTTTACACATTCATTTTCAAATTCCTTGTGCCAGTACTGCCTATTAAAGAAGGGCATCTATTTACCTGTCAAAACTAACGTGTGAATGAGAAGTTGGGGTACTAGCAGGAATAGATGTGTATGTGGCCTTTCACATCACTTAATTCTCATTTGCAATTGATCAGTAAGAAACAGAAAATGTGGATACTGATTTTTCCCGAGAAAAGTCTGGTTTACGGTCCGTCAGCGTAATCAGTTATCCATGCAATGGAAAAATATACATTTCAGGTGCTTATTTATTTATCTTGGACCAAAGTCAACTTAAAGTTTGGCCTAAAAGTTCTTTTCTTAACAGGCCACGGCTGTAATTTGAAATGTGGAAGAGGTCGCTCTATAAATGGGAGGAACCCATAGCCAGAGGAGGGGAATGTAGAAAAACCTGTGACGTTTGTCAATCTTATTGGTAAATATTAAAAATAATGACATTAACGGTAAACAGATATTATGGTTGAAACAAATGCTGGGGAGCAGTTCAGAAAAACAAAAAATCCGAGGACTGTTATCAGTGGAACGTGCATCTTTAAAGCGACTGGTCAATAAGCCTGGTCTTACCGGCGCGTTGTCATTAAGTTAAAAATTACTTTTTAAGTTAAGAATACACTTTCCATTACAAAATTGCTGTATACTAATCCAATCAAGCATTTAACAGACAGTACCACAGAAGCGAGTTAAATGCTAGGAAATAATACCTATCAGGTACATGTTGTACGTACAGGTAAGCCGTATACTTACTGAATGGAGTATTAGCTGCGTCACTACACAGCGTCTCCCTGGCCCAAAATGACCTCGAAATATTGATTTAAAGCTTTTAATAGCATAATAGGCGAGATCACATCATATTTATATAATCGTTGTTTGGTATTAACCCCCAATTTCACGTCACAGGGACAAATTAGGACATAATTACTGATGACTACCCGGGCAGATGACACGGAAGTGATTGAAGGGGACCCCTGGTTATCTGACTGTCATAGGAGTGCATATATTTGCCGTTCTAATAAAAGATCTTTAAGCGATTTGGGGATGAAATGTAATGAAATCGTATATGTATTGCTTACTTATTGGTGAGCCAAAGCGTAAATTAATATATACTGATCTTGCTGCCACTTAGGTCCCATTCAGGATAGGGGACTAAGTAATCCGAGGGTCAAATATGGCCGACCCACTTGAATACTTCTCGCGGGATATCTAATTCTGTATCTATTAGAGGATTAGACGGCAAGCTTTGTAGTGGGTGGCCATATTTGACCCTGGGACTAGTAAGTCCGCTATTCTGAATGCGGCCTCGCAGCCCTTAAGCGTAACACAATTTATAAATATATGTACCGTATGCCTGTTAGCTCGTAAGCTTTCTAAAGATCGGAGAAAGTGCGACCGCAGGGCTTATACAAATATTTGATTTTACTTCGTCCCGTCGCTATTATATGAAAAAAGTCAGGGGAACTGGGTTACAGGCCCCGCTGCAATTGTTCATCTCTGTCATTGAATCAAAAGAATTTCAATAAAAATTATGCCATTCGTGAAATCGTTTTACTTCTGAGGCATGCATTAAAAATCACCCTCGGAAGACACCATGTTGGGTACAGTTACCTTTTACTTATTTTATAAAACGGGAAGGTACGTACCGGGTAAAGGGATGTAGTTGTCTGGATTTGCAGGCCCGTTATAAATCTGCACTCTGTATTGGGGTAGTCGTAACAAAAGACAGCTTCTCTTGCTATTATTACACTGTGACACAATAAGGTGTGAAATGTACGCGCGACTTTCCGAGGCTCACCGCGATGGAGGCTCTTATGATAGCATTCACTCGCTTAAAACCGCTTTGCCAGTTGACACTATCTCAGGTCAATGAAGTTATCGTCTATCAATATCAACAATATTCACTGCCAATGGCTTTCTTACCAGTGTTTACAACACCTTACGCCACAACGAGTAGACACATATTGATTCTTGTTCACATATTTAAGACCTGACAGAGAAACATACTGACAGATGTACCTTAAAGTTCTTTCCCTTCCTGCAGTTCTTTTTGCCACGTTGACTTTAAGGTGAAGTAAATTGGTAGTCGGTGAATTGGTCTGGGATTTATGCGGGAACTAACTAGGCGACACCGCGTTTATGTGAACAACAAGGATTTTTTGTCGTTCCATTTTAAGCCTTTAAGAATGACGATTTACATAATGGCAAATCTCGTTTGAATACGATAAAAAAGGAGGCTATTGTAGTGTACGTTTAGGCATTTTAGGTATTTTGTTGTATTGATACGGAGGTTTTCTATGCACAATAGCGTAGGGAATAAAGCTACATCCTGAATAACATACACTTTTGTTCGGAACTGGTTACTGGTGTATAATACGCCATTCTATATTATTCTTATACAATTGTAATTTCAACGTGTAAACTGTTTATATTCATCCACAATTAAGTTGTTATTATACATGTGCATGTATAATTCATTGGTTTAACACAGAAGTCGTGCGTCCAACGCCGGTGAGTCCTTAATTTAACAGATCTACCAATTAAGAAGTGCTGATCGACATAGGGCAGTGGCAACGAATATATTAACCTTCCAAATGGGATCATGTCATTATTTTTCAGAATGTTCACCAAACTTCTAATTCCCCTCCTCGAGGCGACTTTTTGGTTGTTCTACATTGTACCTGTTACAAAATCGGATGAAATAGGACTTAAAAGCCTCAGTCACAACCGGACGCAGATTTTAGGACCGTACGTCCCCTACCAATTTTGGGTGCAGTGGAGGTCGTGAGGTTCGTAGAGGTAGAGGAAAGTCTGCCTTGCGAGTTATACACGGTAAGTAGATGTGCCAAAACATAACAAGTTTTATTCAGGTTGATTAGCTTTAAAACTGGGGCTTCTTCAGTCACACTGCAGTTATATAACAGTGTATTGAACAGTTTAGTGAGTACTGTTCACTATAACACTGTCCCATATGTGAAACAGGTTGTGCCTCCCTCTTTGTTAATTGAAGGTCCCTGGACTGTATGTAAATGGCTTTCTTCACTCCTGAGCCACAGGGGGTCACTGTCTAAGGAAGATCTCAGGCATGCTTTCAGCTTATTTTGTAGAAATTGAACAGTTTAAATGTATATCATCACGATTAACACTACTACACAGATCAACTTTCATCAGAATAACAAACTTCTTTTCTTTGGAAAAGTCGTAAATGTTCGCTCGCCCGCATACTGGAAATGTGTCCCCTATATGCTTATTTACTCTGTGTAACCCCCCCTTCCCTGTGGAAAATTCGTTGGGATTTATGTAAACAGCCTATACTAAACATCACAAAGATAGCACACAGAAAACAAGCATTTATGGCGAAATTGATAAAATGTATTCACATCTGGAATGTTGGTACACTTGGTGTGTGGACATCTAATAATGACAATATTAAATATATCCCCAGACTCCAAAAATGAGCTCATCCTGTTATCTTTAGGATTTCATCTGTAGGTGACACAAAGTCTCGTGATTGTATAAAATCTATGACAAAATATTTCAAAATATTTATCTCATGCATGAAAATATATAATTGAAATAATATATTATCTGATAAAAAATGATAAAACAATTCAACTTGCATGGTGAAAAAGGTGTCTAGATAGCTAGATGGCTGTTTATATTCAAATAAACGTCTCACACTTATTTACACACTTATTTAACCTGAAATATCCCGCAGAGTTACGTCTACATGAAAGAACACTTATAAAGCTGATGTAATTATGTTTTCTTTGAGGTGGTTAGTTCTGATAATAACACTTCCTGTTTTAGATGTTATTTTAGATAACGGGCTCCACTGATGTGCTGGAAATATCGTGTTATATGTTCTATGTACAGATCGAATTCAAACAAAACGTAAGGAAAGACGCACACAAAGGCAAATTTTTAGGTATGACGATTATTTGTAAGTTACAAATAGCCAGTTTATAAAATCCTTTCAAAATCTCAGCCGTTGAAATTATTCCCAGCATTCTTCAAGGCCATGTCAATGTTATGTTTGATTGCCTCTTGCACCTTCTGTATTTTGGTCTCCAAATTTTTGTTCCACCGTGAGAGTTTGTCGTCGAAGCTTCTAAGTTTGCCATCAGCAGTTTTCTCCCAAGCATTCCGTGCCTTTTCCATTTTTTCGTTTGTCTTTGTCTGGCGGTCCAATGCAAGCTTTATCGAGGTGTCATGCTCTGTGTATTTATTGTGCATTTCGTTTTCTGCTTTTCTTTGTTCAGCACGCATGTCTTGAAGAGTTTTCTGAACCATTTGGTGCATTTCCTGCTGCTGTTCTTCAACTACCTTCATCTGAAAGGAAAAGGGTAACGTGCTCATCGAACATCATAATTAGCATGTACAAACCGTATGTATAACTTGTGATGATACAAGAATTACCAAACGTTTTTATAAGATCTCAAAGTCGCATCACTTGTGTCTACTAAAACACATTTCGTTTTTTGGCAAGATCCACTGGGATGTCATCATTCCCAGCGCTACTAACGTTTAATATCATCGATCGTCTCCATATATTGAATATTTTTATATAATGGATCAATTGCATTTTTTCATATTAAATTGATCATTGAAGACTTAGGCTGCATTCAGAACAGTGGACTAACTAGTCCGCGGGTCAAATATGACAACCAACTAAAAAGCTTGCCGCGTAATTCGCTAATAGAAACTGAATAGATTCGCCGTGAGAAAGTATTCAAGTGGGTCGGCCATATTTGATCTGCAGACTTGTTAGTCCGCTGTTGTGAATGTGGCCTTACTCTGCTTTGAAGCTCCTGGCCAAGAGAATGAATATCTTGTTCCATGCGACTGGTGGCCTCGTTCACTTGTTGTCTAAGCTCATCTGACAAAAACCCAAAGTCGCGTCTCATTTCCTTTTCAAAATCCTCTTGTCTCATCTTCTGCTGGTTTTTAAACGTTTCGAACTGTGTCTGTAGCATTTCCATACCCTCCTGATGGAGAGTGGTCAAAGCGGCCTAAAATGAAATAGAAAACAAACTTGCAACACACTAGGGAAACGTGACAGAAAAAAAAAAAATATATATATATATATATATATATATATATATATATATATATATATAATGTATAGATTTATGTATAGTATAGGCACTTGTGATGTACCGGTACATAGAGTGGTTATCCAGGCAGTATATATATATATATGACACTTAATCCTCACCCTAGGCCACCGATGCTGTCGTGCTGTAGTATTTGACAAGGCACTTCTTATTTAAAATTATTTTGCTTAAATATCATAGTCATAACCTGATTATTCAAAATATATACCTTATGGTTTTCATACATGTTTTGTACATCTGTTTTGTGTTGGGCGAAGTTTGACGCCATTGTTTTCTTGAAATTGTTCTGATCAGTCTCCGCCTTCTTAATGTTGCTACGCGTCTCATTTTTGTGTTGACTATTTTCTGCATTGACCATTGTTTGGAAATCTTTGAATTTTTCTTCCATTTTTTCTTCCTAAAATTTCAATAAGTTTTAACACAACATTATGCCCAATATAAGTTCTGCAACTGAGTTTATATGAATTGATTAATATGCAATGAATTCAACGCAAGGCACAAGATTTTAAAAAAATGGACCCGCATATTAAGCAGTACACACGTACGTCACTTCCTGTTCAACCCACACGTACAATTCGACGCTCATGTGTACAGATCACAAAATAGTCCCCCAAATTTTTAATTAATTTAAATGGAATCGGTTGCTTTTGCATACAAATTGTTTTATAGTGACCTTGCCTTGTGGCCTATCGCTGACTTACCCAAGTTTTGTTTTGTGCTTTCCAAGTGTCCACGTCGTCTTTGATCGTGTAGAACCAATCTTTAGCCCTCTCCTCTGCTGACACTGCGCTGTTCTCCAAGTTCTGTCGAGTAATGCCCTCCGTTTGGAGGTAGGTGTCGACTCTCCACTCTAGGATTTGCTGAGCAGTTGAAGTTTCACTTTCATCTGTTAAAAAAGGATAAAACTGGTTTCAGTGAATCAGTGAAATAAAATGAAAAACACACTGCTCTCCTTGACACAATCTTCTTTAATGTTACCATGTTGGTTTACTATATACTTGCTTATTATATTGAGCCATTGTTAATTAAAATACCTGCTCTATAGAGATCAATACATTCATCCCCTCCTTCTGTTTTATCAAAAGCCACTCCATTTTCTCTCCAGAATTTCTCAACGTTAGCGGCTAGACTGTCCGTTACCCAGTAGAACCCACAGTTGTTGGTATCGGTATCGTCAATAGTATACGATGTTCCGCCTTTGCTTCTAAGTCCTCCCTTTTGAAGTAAGTACAAGAGCGGGCACCGCCGGGCACCTCTTGGTTGGTGAATAGTTACCTGCAGAGGGAAAGGAATAAATGCACAGCAGAACTTGCAGGAAAAATCACAATACACACAAACTGCACGTAGTTATACAATCCCGGTACACTAGTACGTTTTTTGTTATAGACAAAATACTGGTGCCTAGGAAACTAAAAGGGCGATGTCATTATCATTACTGCTGTGTTCGCTTGTTAAAGATAAGCACAATTTAAGTGAATTAAAATAACTGAAACACTGACGTACTTCACACCGCGAAGCACGCTCGATTAAGGTCTGGTGGACGTTGTCTGGGTTGGCAAAGGTTGTGAGGAAGATGGTTTCGTAGAGCACCATGTCCAGTTGAATGGGTGGGCTGTTTGGATTGCCAAACTCTCCTCGCTTGAAAGAAGTCATGATGTGTGAGACACAGTAGTCACTCAAGTACTCTACCGGATTATGAGCTCTGTCTTGTGGATTGATGTTCAGCGCTGCGGCACCTGGCGGCGATACATAAACTTCATATCAGTTTACTTAAGTGCAAATTAATGTAGTATATGTGTATTCCTACCTTTCTTTTTTTCGTTTTAGCGGATACAAATATGCCAAACATGATATATATAATCATTACCTCCACCAAGGAGGTTATGTTTTCACCCCTGTTTGTTTGTCTGTCTGTCTGTCTGTCTGTCTGTCTGTACTTATGGACCGATTTTGATGAAATTTTCAGGAACTGTCAGAAGTAGGCCAAGCAACAAATGATTTTGGTGGTGATCCGGATCAATAATCAATCAATAAAAAAACAAAACCCTTATAGAAATAGACAAACAAACAAACATGGATGAAAACTTATCCTCCTTGGCGGAGGTAATGAAAATTTAGGGGTGAAACGGCATTGGGTGGAGACTTTGTTGCCTTGGCGGAGGTCTGCGCTCTCGGAGTGCTTTTCAAGTTATTATTTGAATCATTATGGAGGGAAAATGGGGACAAGCTATAAGGTTATTATATACTGTGCAAAGTTCCTTACTGATCAGACTGGTACCAATTTTAAAATTATCAAATTCTGCCAATGGTCATATGCAACTAGCATTGCAGTTTTCACCTTGTAAGATTTTTATTTGTTCAGCATAACACAGCGTCAAATAGAACGCCGCATTGGTGATTGTCCTGTCTAACTCTGCCATGACGACGACGAAGTCGATCTGCTTTGCCTCCTTTTTTCCTTTCGGTCTTGTAAATTGAATGGCTCTAGTTGCTCTGCTCTTCATGGCATTGAGAGCTGCGACAATCTAAAAAACAAACGAAAAATACGTGTCTGCCAGTTCAATACACTTTAAAGCAGCAAGAGTTATCTTAGCCCACGTAAACCTATTCTAAACAATTAAAAAATGATATTTGGAAAATGCTCCTACATAATCAAAGGTTTATAAATATTATTTAATTATTGCTACCATTAACAGTTGATCAAAATAAAAACTAAAGCTGAATAATGCGTGGCTATGCACAGCATGTGCTGCGTGACGTACCGATTGATTAGAATGTTTTTCTGGATCAGCGACTTCTTCGTCTTCTCCAAACAATTCCACTGTGGATCCTCCGTCTTTAGTTTTGATACCACCACAGGCAGCCTAACATAGATGTCACATTTTTATATATGTAAATATCACACCTTTTTATGGGGGAATGCACGACCCTCACTCCCTCCCTCCCCCTCTCTCTCTCTCTCTCTCTCTCTCTCAAGTGCAAAATTTACTGAAATAAATACTAAATTTCTTAACCGTTCTATTATATTTCACTACTACTACTACTACTGAACGTCGCCCCTATCTTCATTTTCTTCAAGTTGAGAGTTACTGTACCAAAATGGTTTTTACAAATTCATAACAAGAAAATACACGTAGGGCTTACTAACCTCACATCGAGCAAGCCATGTGTGCAGCTTTGATCTAAATGTTTCGAAAAAGACATACTTTTCTCCTTTGTTTTCTTTGAACCTTTCATTGGCTTGCTGCTTGCGTTTAATAGCTGCTTGTTCAATCGTTAATATTGCTTGCATTGCATGCGCTTGAACCATCTGAAATTCAATGACATTCCTGTATGTCAAACTATCTGATATTTTTGTAAACTGGTCATTCCGCAAAATAATAATAATAATAATAATAATAATAATAATAAATAAATAAATAAATAACAAAAAAATGACGCTCTGATTCACGTTAGTGACGCATACATTCATTGAGGATTGCTTCAGGATTTTTCACTCAAACACTAAGTAATTCGCCTGTCTACAACTCTGTTTTACTAGCATATGAAAAATTATCACATTAATTCAACGTTTTCTGAAAAAACAATGCTATTTACACTATAACATATACAATATTGCAGCTCCGGCTTAATGCTGAAATGTTCATAACATAAACGTACATATTTTAAGAACACGTACCTCCTCCTTGAGCAGCTCTAGCTCTGCGCCATGTTTCAGTCTTTCACGCGGCGTGACTGCCTTCTTGGCCTTGTCCTCTCTGTCAGTGATTTCCGTATAGATACTCTCTCGCGTCACCTCCAGGTTGGCCATTTTCTGGTTTACATCGTCGGCACGATCGAAGAGCTTTTCAGCGTCATCTGCGATAGCTTCTGTTGGGTCGGTGTACAACATGGTAGTCTTAGTTTTGACCTTGAAAAGGAAAACACTAGAAAAACCACTGTCGAATTCAATATATATACAGTATATACTTCTACCTTTTTCCTTAGGTATTTCCAAAGGAAAAAGGTAGAAGTATATATATATATATATCAGACAAGAAACCAAAAACAAGTTAGAGGTTGACAATACATGGGACATTGGCAAGGGACAAAACGTGTCTCTCACTTACGCACTTGAAAGCAAGAAATCTAAACGTGGACAGTATACATGTACAAAAATAGGGATAAGATGGATAAAATGGCTGATGATCAAATAGGCGCGAATAGGACTTGCAGGTAGGGGATTGAGTTGGAAATACCTACTGGTTCCCCATATTGTATGGTGTCCCTATCATCTCCAATCCTCACGTTTAGAATCATTCACAACTTACCTTTTGACTGATATTGCTCAAATAACTCTCATCTTCAATGTCGTCAATGTTGTCAACGTTGGCAAAGCGCTTTACCATTCCATTCAGAAAGCTGTCTAATATCTTCTGTACATTTCTGCTGCCAGTCAGCTTACGTTCTGCAAAAGTAACGTGATAAATAATAAAAATGGGACCGGGTTAAGTGCATTAAACAAGTATATTTTTTTAATTTATATAATTTTGGTAATAATGAAGATATCTTTCTAAGCTAGTGCCTTCTTATAATGTTACTTGGATGTTACAATATATGTACGTAAAATACAATCGGTATAAACAAAAGTGCCAAGTTAACAAGTCTAATATGTCTCAGACCAGCAACCGTTTCTTTAGCCTTTTGATAAGGATTTGAAATATCATTTTTCTTGAAAATTCTATACATATACATACCTGAAGTATCCTCTTCAAGCTCCTTAAGATGGTCTTTCAGTTTTTTCAATATCTCTTGTGCATTTCTACGAGTGGCCTCGTATATCAGTTGTTTGCAAATCTTTATCTTTCTCAGGCGGTTCTGGTATTTCTCCTTTATGAAGGCGTCAATTATTTTCATATTCCCTTTCTTCGTGGCATTGATCAATTCCGCATCCGAGAATTTCGGTTTTTCTAAAATGTGATAAATAAATATATAAATACGTACTGTAAAACATATGCTGAATTTTATCACCTCACGTTTTACTTAGTCCAGCTCAAATAATTTCAAACTTACACCATACAATTTGTATAGAAACCAATATCTGAACATTAAATTACATATTCTATGTAAGCATTATGCAATACGTTCAGCAGGCGTAAAAAAAGTTGTTCCTATCAGTTGACTGTAGCGAACATTATTTCAAACTAACTTCAAGGCTCCTAGTAGGGTGTTGATGACTAGCATGGTTAAGATACATAGGTGCCATATATCTTTACACTGCTTTCCTTCATATGTGCTTACCTTTCTCAATTTCTTCTTCTTCGGGAAGCTCATCAGTCTCGAGAAAATGTGCTGTTTGGGTGTACCCTGCTTCTCGGGCAATCTGGGCAGCTGTTTTTCCATGTCTGTCAACCTCTGCTTTGTTGACACCGCACTCTCGAACCAGAAACTTCACCAGGGCAAAGTCGCCATTTTGGGCCGCTAAGCCGAGCGGGAATTCGCCTTTGTCGTTTTTGGTAACAAATTCTACTCCGTGCTCTTTAAGCAGCCTGGCGACTTCCTCTCCATGGTTGTTTTTGGTGACCAGAGTCCCCGCAGTTTCCCCGTCGGGGAGTGTCGTGAGGTCTATACCTTGGAGGGAAAAGATGGCTTTTAATTCATTGATGTCCCCGTGGCGCAAAGCTTCGTGGTACCGACGTTGTCCAACATGGCGGATGTATTCTTCCATGTCTGTGTTTCCAAGGTCCGCAGCCTCCTTCACCAAAGTGGTGGCGTTAAACCTGTGAAAAAGGGAGGCTCCGTGGGACAACAGGTAGTGCACAAGTCGAAGGTTTCCTGATTGAACAGCGATTCTTGTGGCTGTGTTGCCATTGTAGGTCAATTCGTCTATATCGGCCCCTTCACGATGCAGTCTCATAACGGCCTCAACATCTCCTTGTCTTGCTGCTTCCCTGACTTGTTTGTTCTTCATTTTTTGTTTAAGATATTCGGCTATATCAAAGGACCATTTCTCTTGTGCAACTGTCACTGTGGACTTTCCATCAGGAAATATCCAACCAGGGTCAGCCCCATAAGTTACCAAGTGCTTCACCATTTCTAAATTTCCTTGCAGCACGGCCTGTGCGATGTTCGACGACGTATTGCCGTCTGCTATCTCTGGTGCCGCACCACGTTGTAACAACACCATGCAATCTTCAGCTTTGTTTTGCTTTACAGCAGCCTTCAACCAAACGCCTAAACGGCCGACGATGTATGTCTCAAGGCGAGTAAAACCCCTTTCTTTTGCGTAATCTAGCGGCGACTTCTGGTTTTGATCAGTGACACATAGGGTACGCAAATTGGTTTGATCACACTCAACTAGGTAATTCAGTATTTCAGGTTTGTCCTGGCTTTGGCAAAGGATCCCGACCAGCCCAAGAGGCATCGTGTCCGAGCACTGGTTGATGTTGCCACCGACCTTATGTAGAGTCTGCACTCTTTCTAAGGTCTCACGTTGTACTGCCTTAATTAGTTGACCGTTCACAAGTATTCGAACCAGCTGATCAGAGCATTGAAGGCACATATTGTATTGGCCTATCTTGTAAGTTTTCATATTTGGGTCAGTCTGTCGATTAGCTTCTTGTCTAAACTTTTCGGCAGACAATCTCGCTTCATCCATTGCTGTGTGTCCTCTCTTGTTTCGGTATCTAATGTCAGCGCCATCGGCAACGGCCAAGGCTGCGTTGTCGTAATCGCCTCGTTGGGCTGCTTCCATTAGTTTTTCGTTCAGCGTTGTCCCAAGCAGCCCCCCGGCAACTTTTCGGAATCCAGACTCAAGTGGAATCATGGGCAAAGTCATGATCCGTGTCTCAGGAACAGTGACAGGGGGGCAAACATCTACCGAATCAGAGGGCTTGGAATGGCCTCTCTCTGTTTTGCCAGGAAGAGAATGATCGTAGTCCAGCTCGTTTAGTGTGTTGACGATGTCATCCTGATTGCCTCGAATAGCCTCGTCTAGCGCTGACTTTCCTTCCACGTTTCGCTTATTTTCGTCTGCACCAAGTTTCAACAGGAAGTGCAAGATTGGTACATGGCCGCCAATAGCCGAATATATCAGAGGTGTGTTGCCATGGTTGCACTGCCTGTGGATATCAGCGCCGAATCGATGAAGTAGTTGGACCATTTGGAAGTTACCTCTTTCTATGGCAAAAGCAAGCGGCGGTTTCCCCCCTTTTTCCTCGCCCTTGTTGATTTCAGCTTTCATTTCACATAAGAGCTTCAGTATGTCAACGTTTTCTAAAAGAATATATATGAAAATTGTATAAGGCATTTTGTTCTTTTAAAAAAAGGTATTCGCACAATAACCTACACCTGTTTTTGTTGCATGTATACGATCAATTAATCGAACAATACAAGACAGTTAATCAATTATGGGAGTGCCTAAAGCTTATGCCAACGTTATGTATTTACAGAAACGAGACAATATGGGAGAGATATTAATGAAAACCGTTAAATATGTATGTGTATGATGTCTTTTTACGACTGCATCTTTACCGCGGTCCACAGCAAGGTGAAGCGGAGTCCAACCATTAATTACGTTCCTATGGTCGTCGCTGTGGTAACAGAAATTTATGTCAGCCCCAACCAGAAGAGATTCTTTCAAATTATCTTCTTTCCCCTGGTCTACCGATCTCCACAGTCGTGCGTTGGCTTCAGTTTTGATAACGGCACAAACTTCTTCGGATGCATTGTGATCTTAAATTGATAACGATCGCCATATAAGACTACAGTGAGTCACCATATTAGGCTACAATGAATTACCATATTGGGCTACAATGAGTCCCATGAAAGCTTTATGTTATAGATCTGTAGAACGAAATATTGACCAGAGAATAGGGCGGTGCTAACGTTAAACTATCCAAGAGGCAAAACATCCCATAAGCAATTCTTATTTGATGTACCCAAAAGCGAACATTTTCTGGCAAAGTGAGCAATTTTTGGTCGTTAAATTCATCGAAACTTCTTTCCACCACAAAGGGCGTGCGTTTGTACTTTTGAATATCGATCAATTTCAGTAATGAAAATAAATTATAATTTACATGTAACTAGGAGATAACATTAACAAAATCTCTTATGAATTCTGTACCATTACATTCCAAATAAAAACATAAACATTGGTATTAAAATGCATGCAGTGCACATTTTGGTTGGAGAAAATGTATGAATGGAATTTTCCATTTTGCATACATGAACGCTACCCCACAACACGACATATACTTTAGTGTACACAAAATATATGTATAAGTATATTATTCATCTATTAAGTTGGTATTACCTTTGGCAAAGTCTAACAGCGTCCACCTCGGTCTTTTCATGTCTGCTCCGTGCTGAAGAAGCATCTCTAACACGTCCGGTCTGTCACTTTTTACGGCAAGCTCCACCGGTCCTTCACCGCTGTGGTTCTGCAGGTTAATGTTAGCGCTGTAGGAGGTAACGAGTGTTGTTAGAATATCCATGGAGCAGTTATGGATGATGGTTAAGCACAGCAAACTGTTACCTGTAATAGAAAGAGTTTACATAGTAGCAAATAAAAAGGGCGTGCACAGAGTGTGTGACAGATAAAAAACATGCGCAGTTACAGCTTAAAATTAAATCCATGATGATTACTTTTCGAAGTCCTGTCAACTCAAAGTCGCCCTCACACAGATGACAATGACTTTCAAATGTACCCTTATTGCGCAGGCCCAGTCACCATAGACTTGCCCATATAGAACTGGGTTTGAAGTACCTCGCGCTCACTTTGGAAAAACATGGACGGATAAAATATTGCCTAAATCGGCCTCTGTATGCTTGGGCACGAATCTCATACAGACCAGTTGATTCAATAGGAATGCGGTGTAAGAGGAAGCCACGCCCAAGTCTAATTGAAACTTGATACCTGAAAGTGACCAACGTTGGTCCCATTCGGTGCCGAGTGTGATAGTCAGGCAGGGGTTAGGATTTCGCTTCATAATGCCACACAGTGTTACGAATACAAGTCCAATCCCAAACAAACTCATGCACACTGGCCTGTACACATGTGGGTCCCGGCTCGGTATACTAGTTCAACAGGCTTACCTTCCTTATCAGCAGCATTAACATTGAAACCTTGAGGACAGCTTTCTTGTAGATCAGCCACTGTGAGGGTCATACCACTTTCCATGACTGCTCGTCTTATGTGTTTGTTGGTTATGGCATTCTTGAGGATGGTTTCAATCTGAGCATTCCTGGAGTATATAGGTTACGCAATACTTTTCAATACTGAATACTTCTTATTGACTTCCTTTATACGATGATTGGTCACGATTCCACGAACATTTACTGTAATATATCTGCCAAAAACTATTTAGATGGATGACCGAAAGCAAGTTGAAAAAAGTTGAGTATACAGAGATGTAACGTAAAAATATAAATGCAAGTGTACCTGGTCTCGGAATGTCTGCAGATCCCCATTGCCGTTTGTCCTCTGTCATTCTGCATTTCTGGATCTGCACCCTAAATTGAAAGGTTTCTTCTGAATATACACGTTTATGAAATATTTAATTTGGAAAGATATTGATATTCAATATCGAATAAAGCCAACAAGAACGAAGAAAAAAGACGTCCGGTGCAAAAACAATACCCGGTACCAAACTTCACTATCTTACAGCCATTTAAACACAGAGTTATAATACGTTTTAATAAAGGGTAGGAACTTTTCTGCTATTCCACAAAAGTTTTTACCTCATCCACAAGCAATTTTACAAGATCTGTTTTCTTTCCGAGTACCGCATACATCAGAGGTGTGCTTCTGTCTTGTTCTTCGTCCAGGAAGTCGACGTCGACCCCAAATACTCTAAAATTCAGTTTATAACCTTATGTTATCAAAGTTTATACATTGGTCGTATTTAAAATGTTTTGAAGGAAATGTGGCTACTTAAAATGTTTAAGTAGGATGGTGTTGAGTTGCACGGGGTCTGCGTATAACCTGCCATTTACAACGAAGATTTCCCATCTTTACCAATTCCCATTAAAGATGTCATATTATACCTTCCTCTATACCACTGCACAAGTATATAACACAACTTTCTTATGAGACAATCTAGTCTAGTCATAAGCTTTAGAAAAAAAGTAAAATAAAGAAAAGAAGCGATATAAAAAGGAAGGAGAAAAGCAAAAAGGAAATAGAAAATGTAGAGTTGAGAATCACGGCGGAGTAAGGTCGATTCACAGAGACCGATGGTGTCTGTGGTAATGGGGCTTTAGGCAAAATAACGCCATCACTTACTTTACAAGTCTTGTGACCGCGTCCGAGTCCAATTGTCCGTTCTGAGACGCACGGATGAGAGCTCGCCCCATGGCATAGTAAATGGCGTTGGCAACGTTAGGATTTCCAGCGTTTTGAGCAACTGTGTTTAGGCCCACCTGGCCCGTTGCAAAGAAAGTTATGGCCTGTGCAAGAAAAATAATGTTTGTGTCGTACTTAAAGTGAGTGCTACCAGTTGGAAGATGGTCAGAGGTCCTTATATAACTGAAAACTCACTAGATGAATCTTGCCATAAAAGTTCTGTCTTCACACACACACACACACACACACACACACACACATGAACTTGGTAAAAAAGGCTGCCCCCCCATTTATTCCAAGTTATTTTGTTAGCAAATGATAACCTCCTACCTGTAAACTATTTCAAACGATTAATGCCCCTGATACCATATCTAGACACCTTACTCAATGGGGTCTTTTTAATGTTATGTACTTTTTTATTTTATCTTTGTGGAACATCAGATTCCGGCGATTTGAAGGGGTGCATGCTCTAAGTTTGAATAAATGTTTTATAAAACATAGATATCTTCACCAATATTTTGCATTTTGTGTACCCTGAGTCATGTTAGATATGATAACTGTAATAAAAAATCACAGTTCAAAATGGTTTACTGATAATAAGGAATACAGAGAAATGAATACAGAATTTACCGGAATTTTCAACTGCTAGCAAATTACACCAATTTACAAGTAAAAATCAACACTTTTGATGGTGAGGAATTTACTTTTGCATTCTTTGGGTCTTCTCTCAGCAGATATTCCACGATGTTATTTCTGTCTCCTGGTAGTGTTGCCGCCAATTCTAGAAGGCCCATCTTCAAACCACTTACTGTTGGTTTACTAACTTGGTATATGTCGCCTCCTGAAATATTTATGTCTAAGTGTGATAGATGCTGCCACTTGGCTACAAGGTTTTGCCATGGTTTCCACACTCTGACAAGTCGGGGTTAGCAATATGTTGGGAAAAATACAGTGGAACCGTTGACAATCCCAAAGCACACTAAAACCCAGCTAGCTTTGCAACTGGGCATACACAGAGACAGCCAGAGCTTCAAAATCACGAGTTGTGCTAGTGGGTTATGAAAAAGTTCTGGTATTTTGTCAGACCGGGCGGGAGAGCAATGGGGGAGACATGTTCTGTACAGAAATTGTCCTCAAAATAAAACACAAACAGTCTTTTCATTATTATGTTTTTGTTTTAGATCACATTTTTGGCGCTTACTTGAGGGTCAATCACGTGCGGTCAATTATTTTAGAAGTTGGCCTTCTAGTCGACTCACTCCGCCATTTTGGTTCTCCATGTACACCGCATGAGCCAGATCTCTCAGCAATAAATTCTCGATGCATTTAAACTATTGGCAATGTAATTTTAAAATGCTCGACGGGGAATAATATTGTTCAATTATCCCAACTTCTGGTTGAAGCTAACCAAGGGGATGGCTTCAGCCAAAGTCAATAAATGTTTATTTCTATTGCTAATTCCCATCCATCCCGGATTGACTTACCTGCTCGGTGTAACTTGACTAATTGCTCTTTGTTTCCGTTTTTAACAGCCTCGACGATCTGCTCATCCATCGCTCCTTCCAGGAGGTGTATAATCTGGTCGTACACATGAACCAAGTTGGTCATGGATGTACTCATATACTTTTCTTTCATTTTTTGAGCAGCCTGGAGAGGACTGCCTTGCAGGTTATACTTCGGTGGTGGTGACATATCGGTCAGGTCTGCTCTACCTTGGTTCAGCACCTGTTGAACCCTGGACGGTTGTCGGGCTATTGCTGCCCATAGTGCTGAAACATTTGATATGGCAATTAACAGCATTAAATGCATGCGATTTAATTATTATTGTTATAAGACTACAGAAATTAATAATAATAATATTTAACGATAAACTTTTAACTTTGATTGATGGTTGTAAAATATTTTATAAAATTTGTAAATTGTAAAGTGTTTTGTAAAATGTAAAATGTTTTGTGAAATGTGTGAAGGCAATATTCATTCCCATCCAAAAATGATAAAAACACCTCCACTATATCCGCTATCTCAGGAGCTGGTATTCAACACTTAAGTGCCAGCAATAATGTGCAGCTAGTACCTCTTACCTCGCACTATCTTTATGGCCTTATAAGCAAAGTTGATAACCTTGTTATTGCATACGATACTTTTCAGAAGGAAATAACGTCTGACAGGTTTGAGATACAAGATCCCAAACATATATATGAGCAAACAAATGTTGATAAACCTACGCACAAACATTTTGAGNTTGTGCACTAGTATTCCAATGGCTGTTTCTATGGCATATGACAGCCATCTTGGATTTTTTCAAAAAGTCCAAGGGAACTTGTTTGCTATCTGACACATATGAATAAAATGGGTAATAAGGGTGTGGAAAACTGAGTAAATAATTTATTTGATAAAAATCAACATAGATATGTACACATTTCTATAGAATTCCATAAATTGGCGGCCATTTTGGATTTTTTGGCCAAACGGTAATTTTTTACCGTGGGCTACGGCTCTAATTTGATTAAGTATGTCAAAAGGTACCCACATGCAAAATTTAGTGCTTTTATCCGCCGTGTCACGATTTTTTCCTTAAGCCACCGGACTAGTATACAGAGATGTAACGTAAAAATATAAATGCAAGTGTACCTGGTCTCGGAATGTCTGCAGATCCCCATTGCCGTTTGTCCTCTGTCATTCTGCATTTCTGGATCTGCACCCTAAATTGAAAGGTTTCTTCTGAATATACATGTTTATGAAATATTTAATTTGGAAAGATATTGATATTCAATATCGAATAAAGCCAACAAGAACGAAGAAAAAAGACGTCCGGTGCAAAAACAATACCCGGTACCAAACTTCCCTATCTTACAGCCATTTAAACACAGAGTTATAATAAGTTTTAATAAAGGGTAGGAACTTTTCTGCTATTCCACAAAAGTTTTTACCTCATCCACAAGCAATTTTACAAGATCTGTTTTCTTTCCGAGTACCGCATACATCAGAGGTGTGCTTCTGTCTTGTTCTTCGTCCAGGAAGTCGACGTCGACCCCAAATACTCTAAAATTCAGTTTATAACCTTATGTTATAAAAGTTTATACATTGGTCGTATTTAAAATGTTTTGAAGGAAATGTGGCTACTTAAAATGTTTAAGTGGGATGGTGTTGAGTTGCACGGGGTCTGCGTATAACCTGCCATTTACAACGAAGATTTCCCATCTTTACCAATTCCCATTAAAGATGTCATATTATACCTTCCTCTATACCACTGCACAAGTATATAACACAATTTTCTTATGAGACAATCTAGTCTAGTCATAAGCTTTAGAAAAAAAGTAAAAAAAAAAAAAGAAAAGCAGCGATATAAAAAGGAAGGAGAAAAGCAAAAAGGAAATAGAAAATGTAGAGTTGAGAATCACGGCGGAGTAAGGTCGATTCACAGAGACCGATGGTGTCTGTGGTAATGGGGCTTTAGGCAAAATAACGCCATCACTTACTTTACAAGTCTTGTGACCGCGTCCGAGTCCAATTGTCCGTTCTGAGACGCGTGGATGAGAGCTCGCCCCATGGCATAGTAAATGGCGTTGGCAACGTTAGGATTTCCAGCGTTTTGAGCAACTGTGTTTAGGCCCACCTGGCCCGTTGCAAAGAAAGTTATGGCCTGTGCAAGAAAAATCATGTTTGTGTCGTACTTAAAGTGAGTGCTTCCAGTTGGAAGATGGTCGGAGGTCCTTATATAACTGAAAACTCACTAGATCAATCTTGCCATAAAAGTTTTTCACACACACATACACACACACACACACACACACACATACGGACTTGACATTTAAGATGGAATATTTCAGTTTCGAGGGTATGCCTAGGTAGAAATGCGTTCTTTTTTCAAAAAAAAAAAAAAAAAAAAAAAACTCCGATCTCATGTAGGATATGTGAATGGAGAAGTGTGTAGTCATGTGTGTAGCTACCAATTAACTGAATACCAGGTTTGTTGCGCTGCTGCATTATGTAATATGCAGTAATTTAATTTGGTAGTGCTCCTTTGGGCAGGTCAAAGCTTGGCTTTAGCAAAGCATGGTACCGTCCAAAAAGTATCCATATGTCGGCAACTTCTGCATAGAAGAATTTGAAATTTTGCATGCAAGTGGTCGGTTTTGCAGTGTGTAATATGAGCTATGCATTGCTTTACAAATTTGTTAATCTGTGGCAAAATGGCGCGAAAAAGACAGACATTGGCAGACAAATAATTGCGCCAATCGAAACGGTCTGACAGTTTTATAGAGTAATGCCCGGACTGATGTACCTACATAGAGGTACACACCCAATGTATTGAAATCTTACCACCAGGGCACAGGACCCACTGTCTTTCAGGATATGCTTTTGCGACTAAACAAAAAAACACCCAGTCCGTTCAGAATGAGGGGTAAATTGCCACCAAAACGCATATTTCAAGGCCCTGAGCGAACACCAAACTGGTTTTAGCAGATTAGAATACCAAACGACCTCCGAGGAACGCACTGTAAACAGCAAAACATCGTTGTATGTTTTTCTAATGAATTGGGGACCATGACCGTTTCTGGGTTGACCACTGAAACCTCGTGGCTTTCTTTATTGAGGTCAGATTTCACCTGTACCGCTCAACTAGTCAAAAAAGAGTTTACAGACATCCAGAAGAGGCCAACGACGAAGTATGCGCCGCGTCTAAAATGACTTTGGTCATTAACAGCGTCAGTATTTGGTGTGGACACCGCATTGGTGCCAAAACACTAATGGCAGTCATCGACGAAAACCTGAACCAGATCAAATAAAGGAATAATCTGGGAACCACTTGACTATCATTTGATAGGGGCCACCTAAGGAACAATTTTAGGTTGCACAGTCAGATTGCCGGTTCACACAGAGCACTTTTAATAGCAGATTACTCACAGAAACAAGGGCATGCAGCAGCTACCTTGGTCATCAAAACCGCCATATTTGAACCACATGGACAATATGTGGGTAGGCCATTACTCACCGAATCAATTCCCTTCATGTCCTACAACAAAACTGGACCAAATTGGACAGATATTGACCGATGCCTGGAATGTTATTCCAGATTGAGCTCTAAAAACGTATCCCAAGGAATGCCTTGCTACTTGAGAGCGCTGCTAGCAACCAAAAGAAGTCAGGCGAAACAGCGACCGTTACTGTGACTAGACACTGACATGATGGTCCTTTGTGGAGCGTGTAACTCTTTTACAGACAATAATTTGGAAAATATGGAGATCCAAAATATCTCTTTTAATTTTCCATATTAAATGTCAAGTCTGTATATGGACTTGGTCAAAAAGGCTGTCCCCCACTAATTCCATGTGTTTTTGTTAGCAAATGATAACCTCCTTCCTGTAAACGATTTCAAACGATTAATGCTCCAGATACCATATCTAGATACCTTACTCAATGGTGTCTTTTTAATGTTATGTGCTTTTTATTTTATCTATGTGGAAGATCAGATTCCCGCGATTTGAAGGGGTGCATGCTCTAAGTTTGAATAAATGTTTCAACTGCTAGCCAATTACACCAATTTACAAGTAAAAATCAAAACTTTTGATGGTGAGGAATTTACTTTTGCATTCTGTGGGTCTTCTCTCAGCAGATATTCCACGATGTTATTTCTGTCTCCTGGTAGTGTTGCCGCCAATTCAAGAAGGCCCATCTTCAAACCACTTACTGTTGGTTTACTAACTTGGTATATGTCGCCTCCTGAAATATTTATGTCAAAGTGTGATAGATGCTGCCACTTGGGTACAAGGTTTTGCCATGGTTTTCACACTCTGACAAGTCGGGGTTAGCAATATGCTGCAAAAATACAGTGGAACCGTTGACAATCCCAAGCCTACTAAAACCCAGCTAGCTTTGCAACTGGGCATACACAGAGACAGCTTGAGCTTCAAAATCACGAGTTGTGCTAGTGGGTTATGAAAAAGTTCTGGTATTTTGTCAGACCGGGCGGGAGAGCAATGGGGGAGACATGTTCTGTACAGAAATTGTCCTCAAAATAAAACACAAACAGTCTTTTCATTATTATGTTTTTGTTTTAGATCACATTTTTGGCGCTTACTGGTTGAGGGTCAATCACGTGCGGTCAATTATTTTAGAAGTTGGCCTTCTAGTCGACTCACTCCGCCATTTTGGTTCTCCATGTACACCGCATGAGCCAGATCTCTCAGCAATAAATTCTCGATGCATTTCAACTATTGGCAATGTAATTTTAAAATGCTCGACGGGGAATAATATTGTTCAATTATCCCAACTTCTGGTTGAAGCTAACCAAGGGGATGGCTTCAGCCAAAGTCAATAAATGTTTATTTCTATTGCTAATTCCCATCCATCCCGGATTGACTTACCTGCTCGGTGTAACTTGACTAATTGCTCTTTGTTTCCGTTTTTAACTGCCTCGACGATCTGCTCATCCATCGCTCCTTCCAGGAGGTGTATAATCTGGTCGTACACATGAACCAAGTTGGTCATGGATGTACTCATATACTTTTCTTTCATTTTTTGAGCAGCCTGGAGAGGACTGCCTTGCAGGTTATACTTCGGTGGTGGTGACATATCGGTCAGGTCTGCTCTACCTTGGTTCAGCACCTGTTGAACCCTGGACGGTTGTCGGGCTATTGCTGCCCATAGTGCTGAAACATTTGATATGGCAATTAACAGCATTAAATGCATGCGATTTAATTATTATTGTTATAAGACTACGGAAATGAATAATAATAATAATAATAATAATAATAATGATAATAATAATAATAATAATATTTAACGATAAACTTTTAACTTTGATTGATGGTTGTAAAATATTTTATAAAATTTGTAAATTGTAAAGTGTTTTGTAAAATGTTTTGTGAAATGTGTGAAGGCAATATTCATTCCCATCCAAAAATGATAAAAACACCTCCACTATATCCGCTTTCACAGGAGCTGGTATTCAACACTTAAGTGCCAGCAATAATGTGCAGCTAGTACCTCTTACCTCGCACTATCTTTATGGCCTTATAAGCAAAGTTGATAACCTTGTTATTGCATACGATACTTTTCAGAAGGAAATAACGTCTGACAGGTTTGAGATACAAGATCCCAAACATATATATGAGCAAACAAATGTTGATAAACCTACGCACAATCATTTTGAGAGAGAGAGAGAGAGAGAGAGGAATATGTCGTATATAAGTACCTTCATTTTGAGACGGACTATTTCCCATGGCAACTTATCTGAGTTTCCGTCCTAAGTTTGCTTCACTGAAACGAACAAACGTATATGCAAGTAAGAAAGGCCCGTTTTGCTGTGGTATCTGCAGGGTCCAATGCCAAGTTACACACTTCAATGGCAAATGACATTCATAGTCCCATTTATTAATTCATTGGGCACTATGCCAAGTTAATAAAAACACATATTGAGTTTTTACTCCTTTAAATTCTTTGTCTCCCCCAACCACAAAGGCAGACATTTATTGTCGTTGAAGTGTACACAATTGTAACTAAAAACGCATACCTACATAATTTAATCGCACAAACTAAAAATTAATAATTAATAATTAATAATATTAATTAATAATTTATTGAGCACAAATAAATGGTTTACATTTACAGGCTCTCTAACTAATACAAATATTAAAAAGAATAATTTAAGTAATAAACTATGCTCATCCATGCAGGGATACACGCTTTTTAATTGCACTGTTAACAAATTTACATATGGCAATCACACTCTGCGCAGAGAGTGGATTGAGTAAAATAGATAGTTTATTGTCTGTTGGACCCTGCAAATTCACCTCTGGTATTGAAGCGAACAGTATTTCCCGTTCGACTCTGTGTTCACTGCATTCTAGAAAAAAGTGTGCTTCATCTTCTACTGAGTCGCAGTGGGGGCATTTCCTTTTGTCAATTGGCTTCTTTGGTTTTGTATATCGCCCTCTTTCAATTTCTAATTCATGATCACTGATAATAAAATAAAAATAAAAATAACGACCCTGATTTAGGTCTGTGCTGTACGTTAAAAAAAGTCTTAGTTTCGATAGAGCAAATCTTTGGAACTTCGTATACTAGCTGCCAGACTGTTGGAGAAAATCAGACGACTTAAGTAACTTTTAAAAAAACATACGACTTATTAAGTGGGCGAAAACTGAAAATGATAAATGTGCATATAACTTGTACATTTTTTTATGTTTTTTAATTGGAAATTAATATTTTGGCTTTCATTTAATTATATGCTCATGATTGATGTCGAGCTGTTTATAACAGCTGATGTTTGCTGTTTAAACAATTCAAATATTTACAAATACCATAACGATGGAAACAAGCTTACCTTATTAAAATACATTTCGTCCAGCACACAAATTTAAGTATCTTTAAGCTGAATTAATTAAATGACAAGGGAGATGTTATGGGTTTTACTCCTCGAGGAGACAACGTATAGAATGTAACTGCTTGAATTGGGCTAGCTATTTCTAGGCAACGTATATTTTTTTCCATTTAATGCACACGATTCAGAAGGACAAATTGCTTCGTTCTTTGTACTGGGTCCGTTTGAAAACAAAGGCCGCACTCAGAACAGTTAACTAACTACTCCGAGGGTCAAATATGGCGACCCACTAAAAAGCTTGCCGTCTAATCCGCTAATAGACCCTGAATAGATTCTCCCTCGGGAAGTATTTAAATGGGTCGTCCATATTTGACCCTCAGATTAATGTGTCCACTGTTCCGAATACGGCCAAAGACTACTGGTTTTTTTTTTTTTTTTTTTTTTTTTTTTTTTTTTTTGTAGCCTGACGAATCCACCATGTTCCAAAACATGCCCCTATCTGCAGCCCTTTTAAGTCGATATCATGACACATTTGGGACTTATCGACGACCCACACACGCCCCTCCTTGCGCACGCATTTTTTGTTTGCGAACTCACATTTATTAAACTTGCATCTACGCAAGCAATTAGAACATACAAGCAAACTGGCAAATCGATATGCACGTATGTAAACTTCCTTGCGCGCCGCTTTGCTTGCCACATCCTTACCTGAAGTCACATCTATAAAAAAAGAAATAATGCCCGCAAGCTCGATGTATTTATACGTATTATTTGTATGTGCTTTTTGTTTGGACAATTGATCCCTTTTGTACACATACGGCCATTTTGATTAATATAACTTCGCAGTTTTGAAAATGAAAAAAACAGTTTATAGGGCGGCCGCACCTTAAACGTTCATTTTTAAATCCCTTGTGTCAATGTTCACTATACACTGCCTATTAAAGAAGGGCATCTACTTACCTGTCCAAATTTACATTTGAATGAGAAGATGATATCCAGGAATACATGTATAAATGGCGTTTCACAGCACTTAATCCTCATTTGCGACACCTTCTAATGTGGAAGGTGTCGCTCTATAAATGGGAGGAACCCATTGCCAGAGAAGGGAAATGTAGAATAACATGTGACGTTTGTCAATATAATTGGGAAACATTAAAGAATGTCATGAATATTAACGGTAAACAAATGCTAGGGAACAGAAAAACGAAAAATCCGAGGACTATAATCAATGGAACGTGCATATTTAAAGCGACCGGTCAATAATCCTGGTCTTACCAGCGCGTTGTCATTAAGTAACTACTTGTTAAGTTAAGAATTGAATACACCATTCATTAAACTATTGTCGTATACTAATCCAATCAAGCATTTTACAGACAGTACAACAGATGTCAGTTAAGAGCTAGAAAATAATGCCTATCGGGTAAGGTAAGCCGTATACTTACTGAAAGGAGCACTAGCTGCGTCTCATACACAGCGTCTCTCTGGCCCAAAATGACCTCGAAATATTGATTTAAGCTTAGGTGAGTCCATATCATATCGATGAAGTCGGCTTTCGGTATTAACCCCCAGTTTCACATCACGGGACAAATTACTGATAACTACCAGGGCAGATGACATGGAGGTGATTGAAGGGGACCCCTGGATCTAATGGTATGTCTGTAGGAGTACATGTTAGCATTTGCTTTGCCAGCAGGCAAGCACTTCTTTCAAATAAAAAAAAACAATTTTCAGCCTAGCGTTCGATCTTTAAGTGATTTGGGGATGAAATGTAATGAAAACGTGTATGTATAGTTTACTAGTTGGATAACAGTTGGATAACAGTTTACTAGTTGGATAACAATGTTAATATATACAAATTTTGCTGTCACTTACAGCCCGTAGGCCTAACACATTAGCTTTCTTAAGATCAGAGATGGTGCGACCGCAGGGCTTATACAAATATTTGACTTCACTTCGTCCGTCGCTATTATACGAAAAAAGTCAGGGGAACCGGAACACAGGTCCTACTGCAATTGTTCATCTCTGTTATTGAATCAAAATAAGAATTTTGATAATAATTATGCTATTCTTGAAATCGTTTAACTTCTGTGGCATGTATTAAGTTATCAAAATCACCTTCGATGGACACCATGTTGGGTATACAGTTACTATATACACTTCAGTTCTTTTATAAAACGGAAAGGTGAAGGGGTTAAGTTGTCTGAATTTGCTGGCCCGTGACAAATCCGCACTCTGTATTGGGGTAGACTAACAAAAGACGGCTTCTCTTGCTATTATTACACTGTGACACAATAAGGTGTGGAATGTACGCGCGACTTCCCGAGGCTCACCGCGATGGAGGGCCCTTATGATGGCATTCTCACGCTTAAAACCGGTTTTGCCAGTTGACACTATCTCGGGTCAATAAAGTTATCGTCTATCAATATCAACAGCATTCACATCCAAACTTCCACCGGTGAGTGGTTGGCGACACTGGTAGGAAGAGGTAAGGGGAGACCTAGGTCTATCTTATTTACAACACCTAACGATGCAACGAGTTGGCACATATTGATTCTTGTTCACATACAGGTGTAGTTAAGACCCGACATAGCAACATACTGAGAGACGTACCTTTAAGTTCTCTTCCTCTCTGTAGTTTTGTCGCCAGGTTGACTTGAGGTGGTCAGCGAAGTGGTCTGGAATGTATGTGGGAACTGATAGTTAAATAGGCGGCACCGCGTGTATGTGAACATGGAATTTTTGTAGTTCTATTTTTAGCTTTCCAAGAATGACGATCGAAGATGTTGCATAATGAAAATTCTAGTATGAATACAACAAAAGGAGGGTATTATAGCATAGTTTTAGGTATTTTTCATATTCTGTTGTATTTATAAACGGAAGTTGTCTGTGCACAATAGCGTAGGGAATAAAGCTACAACCTGAATAGCATGCACTTTTGTTCTGAACTGGTTACTGAACGTGTAAACTGTTTTTATTCACCCAAAATTCAGTTGTAATTATACATGTATAATTCCAGACCCGTAGCCAGCAATTTTAAAAGGGGGGTTCTTTTTCTGAAAAAGTGGACCTTTTTCCATAAAAAATTCATGAACCTAGATCAAATTTTACCCAGANCTGTACGTTAAAAAAGTCTTAGTTTCGATAGAGCAAATCTTTGGAACTTCGTATACTAGCTGCCAGACTGTTGGAGAAAATCAGACGACTTAAGTAACTTAAAAAAAAAACATACGACTAATTTAGTGGGCGAAAACTGAAAATGATCAATGTGCATATAACTTGTAAAATTTTTAATGTTTTTTAATTGGAAATTAATATTTTGGCTTTCATTTAATTATATGCTCATGTTTGATGTCGAGCTGTTTATAACAGCTGATGTTTGCTGTTTAAACAATTCAAATATTTACAAATACCATAACGATAGAAACAAGCTTACCTTATTCAAATACATTTCGTCCAGCACACAAATTTAAGTATCTTTAAGCTGAATTAATTAGATGACAAGGGAGATGTTATGGTTTTTACTCCTCGAGGAGACAACGTATAGAATGAAACTGCTTGAATTGGGCTAGCTATTTATAGGCAACGTATATTTTTTCCATTTAATGCACACGATTCAGAAGGACAAATTGCTTCGTTCTTTGTACTGGGTCCGTTTGAATACAAAGACCGCACTCAGAACAGTTAACTTACTACTCCGAGGGTCAAATATGGCGACCCACTAAAAAGCTTGCCGTCTAATCCGCTAATAGACCCTGGGGAAGTATTTAAATGGGTCGTCCATATTTGACCCTCAGACTAATGAGTCCACTGTTCCGAATGCGTCCAAAGACTACTGTTTTTTATTTATTTATTTATTTATTTATTTATTTATTTATTTTATTTATTTATTTTATTTTTGTAGCCTGACGAATCCACCATGTTCCAAAACATGCCCCTATCTGCAGCCCTTTAAGTCGATATCATGACACATTTGGGGCTTATCGACGACCCACACACGCCCCTCCTTGCACACGCATTTTTTGTTTGCGAACTCACATTTATTAAACTTGCATCTACGCAAGCAATTAGCACATACAAGCAAACTGGCAAATCGATATGCACCTACGTAAACTTCCTTGCGCTCCGCTTTGCTTGCCCCATCCTTACCTGAAGTCACAGCTATAAAAAAAAGAAATAATGCCCGCAAGCTCGATGTATTTATGCGTATTATTTGTATGTGCTTTTTTGTTTGGACAATTGATCCCTTTTGTACACATACGGCCATATTGATTAATATAACTTCGCACTTTTGAAAATGAAAATAACAGTTTATAGGGCGGCCACACCTTAAACGTTCATTTTTAAATCCTTTGTGCCAATGTACACTATACACTGCCTATTAAAGAAGGGCATCTACTTACCTGTCCAAATTTAGATTTAAATGAGAAGATGATATATATGTATAAGTGGCGTTTCACAGCACTTAATCCTCATTTGCGACACCTTCTAATGTGGAAGGTGTCGCTCTATAAATGGGAGGAACCCATTGCCAGAGAAAGGAAATGTAGAATAACATGTGACGTTTGTCAATATAATTGGGAGACATTAAAGAATGACATTAATATTAACGGTAAACAAATGCTAAGGAACAGAAAAACGAAAAATCCGAGGACTATAATCAGTGGAACGTGCATATTTAAAGCGACCGGTCAATAATCCTGGTCTTACCAGCGCGTTGTCATTAAGTAACTACTTGTTAAGTTAAGAATTAAATACACCATCCATGAAACTATTGTCGTATACTAATCCAATCAAGCATTTTACAGACAGTACAACAGATGTCAGTTATGAGCTAGAAAATAATACCTATCGGGTAAGGTAAGCCGTATACTTACTGAAAGGAGCGCTAGCTGCGTCTCATACACAGCGTCTCTCTGGCACAAAATGACCTCGAAATATTGATTTAAGCTTAGGTGAGTCCATATCATATCGATGAAGTCGGCTTTCGGTATTAACCCCCAGTTTCACATCACGGGACAAATTACTGATAACTACCAGGGCAGATGATATTGAGGTGATTGAAGGGGACCCCTGGATCTAATGGTATGTCTGTAGGGGTACATGTAAGCATTTGCTTTGCCAGCAGGCAAGCACTTCTTTCAAATAAAAAAAAAACAATTTTCAGGCTAGCGTTCGTACTTTAAGTGATTTGGGGATGAAATGTAATGAAAACGTGTATGTATACTTTACTAGTTGGATACCCTGAGCGAAGTTAATATATACAAATTTTGCTGTCACTTACAGCCCGTAGGCCTAACACATTAGCTTTCTTAAGATCAGAGATGGTGCGACCGCAGGGCTTATACAAATATTTGACTTCACTTCGTCCGTCGCTATTATACGAAAAAAGTCAGGGGAACTGGAACACAGGTCCTACTGCAATTGTTCATCCCTGTTATTGAATCAAAATAAGAATTTTGATAATAATTATGCTATTCTTGAAATCGTTTAACTTCTGTGGCATGTATTAAGTTATCAAAATAACCTTCGATGGACACCATGTTGGGTACACAGTTACTATATACACTTCAGTTCTTTTATAAAACGGAAAGGTGAAGGGGTTAAGTTGTCTGAATTTGCTGGCCCGTGACAAATCTGCACTCTGTATTGGGGTAGACTAACAAAAGACGGCTTCTCTTGCTATTATTACACTGTGACACAATAAGGTGTGGAATGTACGCGCGACTTCCCGAGGCTCACCGCGATGGAGGGCCCTTATGATGGCATTCTCACGCTTAAAACCGGTTTTGCCAGTTGACACTATCTCGGGTCAATAAAGTTATCGTCTATCAATATCAACAGCATTCACATCCAAACTTCCACCGGTGAGTGGTTGGCGACACTGGTAGGAAGAGGTAAGGGCAGACCTAGGTCTTTCTTATTTACAACACCTTACGATACAACACGTAGACACATATTGATTCTTGTTCACATACAGGTGTAGTTAATACCCGACATAGAAACATACTGAGAGACGTACCTTTAAGTTCTCTTCCTCTCTGTAGTTTTGTCGCCAGGTTGATTTGAGGTGGTCAGCGAAGTGGTCTGGATTGTATGTGGGAACTGATAGTTAAATAGGCGGCACCGCGTGTATGTGAACACGGAAATTTTGTAGTTCTAATTTTAGCTTTCCAAGAAGGACGATCGAAGATGTTGCATAATGACAATTCTAGTATGAATACAACAAAAGGAGGGTATTATAGTATAGTTTTAGGTATTTTTCATATTCTGTTGTATTTATAAACGGAAGTTGTCTGTGCACAATAGCGTAGGGAATAAAGCTACAACCTGAATAGCATGCACTTTTGTTCTGAACTGGTTACTGAACGTGTAAACTGTTTTTATTCACCCAAAATTCAGTTGTAATTATACATGTATAATTCCAGACCCGTAGCCAGCAATTTTAAAAGGGGGGTTCTTTTTCTGAAAAAGTGGACCTTTTTCCATAAAAAATTCATGAACCTAGATCAAATTTTACCCATAGTGGACCTTTTCCCACTAAAAGGGGTGGTTCTTTCGAACCCCCCGATCCCCCCCTGGCTACGGGCCTGAATTCATTGGTTTAACGTAGAAGTCGTGCGTCCAACGCCGGTGAGTCTTAAATTTAACAGATCTACCCATTAAGTGCTGACATAGAGCAGTGGCAACGAATATGTTAACCTTCCAAATGGCGGCACCGCGTTTATAAATGTGAACAAGGATTTTTTGTCATTCCATTTACATAATGGCAAATCTCGTTTGGTTTGAATACGATAAAAAGGAGGCTATTGTAGTGTACGTTTAGGTATTTTGTTGTATTGATCGGAGGTTTTCTATGCACAATAGCGTAGGGAATAGAGCTACATCCTGAATAACATGCTTATTTTTTTCAGAACTTACGTTACTGGTATATAATACGCCATTCTATATTATTCTTATACAATTATAATTTCAACGTGTAAACTGTTTTCATTCATCCAAAATTAAGTTGAAGTCTAAAACTTACTTTCATGTTCATATACCCGGTATGTACATGTATAATTCATGGGTTGTAAAATAAAAGTCGAGCGTCTAACGCTGGTGAGGCCTAATTCTATAGCAGGTCTGCCTATTAAGAGGACCTGACATGGGGCAGTAGCGATATATTAACTTTTCAAATGGGATCATGTCATCATTCTACAGAATGTCCGCCTAACTTTTAATTACTCTCTTCCAGACGCCTTTTTGGCTTTTCCACAATGTAACTGTTACAAAATTGGGTGATATAGGATCTATTTGGTGACTTTAATATTCACCCTATGCCACCACCATCACCATCCAAATGTTTTTCAATACACATTTATCTGCTAAGATTGATAGATATGGACGATATCTGATGGCCCAATTTCTATATCCCGAATAAATCTCAGCTTATAAAATAGAAATTGTTGCTGTTTATTTTTTGTAGGTTGACGATATCCACCACAGACAAACATACTCCAATTTTACCACGACAAGATAACCTACTACCCCAAGATGGCAAGAAATGTCGATACGTGTATTTTGGACGGACTGGATATCGACTTTTCTCGTTATTTCTCGTCCAGAGCCATCACCTATGCATCAAAACTAAAGACAGTCTCTCTGGACAGCCACTACTTCTACAGGCGGAGCACACCTATTGACTTTAAACCAATGGTGGACAAAATGCGGCAAGATAAAGTAAATGAAATCGGTTTCCTGAAACTTCCCTCCGAGAGAGTGATAGTTAACAAAAAGATTGATGAAGGGAATAAGGGCTACCTTTCTATTTTGGGACCTCTCCTCGATTTTTGTATTGTCCGTGACATCCATTGCGCTTTTATTCGAGATGACGATGAGGATGTGTTATTAAACGTCCTGGCACTGGTCTCGGAAAAGTCACGGACGGGAGCTACGGTAGCAATCCCCAAAATGAATCCGTTCCGCACTATCAATATCACCAGCGCTCTGAGCAAATCAAAGTATGGCATCACTCTTCAAGTGAACAAAAACTCAATTAAAAAGTTTGAAGTCGCATCTAAAAACGCACGCATCGTACCGATACAAGATGAAGTCAAGTCGGATACCGTTCCAACAAATGCAGTGAATATCTTTGCCTCTGGTGGCAGATACCAAGAGCGGTCGGTCTCTCTCTTTTTCGACTCGGTTCCATCATATAACCTCCATTGGCAAGATCATGCATACAAGTACATCAGCATGACCAAGACGTGGAAACGAATTGACGAGTTTTCGGAGCACCGTTCGAGTGTAGATATGAGGAAAGGAATACTATCTCCAGGTGAACAACCAGTAACAATTGCTGTTTTAGACACCGGTATTCTATCCTCGCATACCGCCTTTATGTCTGCCGATGACGGCCCTAAAGGCTACGGGAGAACGATTAAGGTGAAGAACTTTGTGCCTTCCAGCTACGGGTCATACGAAAACGATGAGTGGTTGGATCGGAACGGTCACGGTACCCACTGCGCGTCCATCGCAGCCGGTGGCACTTTCAGAGCGTGGATCCCGGAAAACAAGCAGGAGGGGGCACTCCCGTCAAGGGAGTGTGGGGACATCGAATGCGGGGTAGCGCCCTTTGCTACACTCGTCGTAGGAANAGTGGACCTTTTCCCACTAAAAGGGGTGGTTCTTTCGAACCCCCCGATCCCCCCCTGGCTACGGGCCTGAATTCATTGGTTTAACGTAGAAGTCGTGCGTCCAACGCCGGTGAGTCTTAAATTTAACAGATCTACCCATTAAGTGCTGACATAGAGCAGTGGCAACGAATATGTTAACCTTCCAAATGGCGGCACCGCGTTTATAAATGTGAACAAGGATTTTTTGTCATTCCATTTACATAATGGCAAATCTCGTTTGGTTTGAATACGATAAAAAGGAGGCTATTGTAGTGTACGTTTAGGTATTTTGTTGTATTGATCGGAGGTTTTCTATGCACAATAGCGTAGGGAATAGAGCTACATCCTGAATAACATGCTTATTTTTTTCAGAACTTACGTTACTGGTATATAATACGCCATTCTATATTATTCTTATACAATTATAATTTCAACGTGTAAACTGTTTTCATTCATCCAAAATTAAGTTGAAGTCTAAAACTTACTTTCATGTTCATATACCCGGTATGTACATGTATAATTCATGGGTTGTAAAATAAAAGTCGAGCGTCTAACGCTGGTGAGGCCTAATTCTATAGCAGGTCTGCCTATTAAGAGGACCTGACATGGGGCAGTAGCGATATATTAACTTTTCAAATGGGATCATGTCATCATTCTACAGAATGTCCGCCTAACTTTTAATTACTCTCTTCCAGACGCCTTTTTGGCTTTTCCACAATGTAACTGTTACAAAATTGGGTGATATAGGATCTATTTGGTGACTTTAATATTCACCCTATGCCACCACCATCACCATCCAAATGTTTTTCAATACACATTTATCTGCTAAGATTGATAGATATGGACGATATCTGATGGCCCAATTTCTATATCCCGAATAAATCTCAGCTTATAAAATAGAAATTGTTGCTGTTTATTTTTTGTAGGTTGACGATATCCACCACAGACAAACATACTCCAATTTTACCACGACAAGATAACCTACTACCCCAAGATGGCAAGAAATGTCGATACGTGTATTTTGGACGGACTGGATATCGACTTTTCTCGTTATTTCTCGTCCAGAGCCATCACCTATGCATCAAAACTAAAGACAGTCTCTCTGGACAGCCACTACTTCTACAGGCGGAGCACACCTATTGACTTTAAACCAATGGTGGACAAAATGCGGCAAGATAAAGTAAATGAAATCGGTTTCCTGAAACTTCCCTCCGAGAGAGTGATAGTTAACAAAAAGATTGATGAAGGGAATAAGGGCTACCTTTCTATTTTGGGACCTCTCCTCGATTTTTGTATTGTCCGTGACATCCATTGCGCTTTTATTCGAGATGACGATGAGGATGTGTTATTAAACGTCCTGGCACTGGTCTCGGAAAAGTCACGGACGGGAGCTACGGTAGCAATCCCCAAAATGAATCCGTTCCGCACTATCAATATCACCAGCGCTCTGAGCAAATCAAAGTATGGCATCACTCTTCAAGTGAACAAAAACTCAATTAAAAAGTTTGAAGTCGCATCTAAAAACGCACGCATCGTACCGATACAAGATGAAGTCAAGTCGGATACCGTTCCAACAAATGCAGTGAATATCTTTGCCTCTGGTGGCAGATACCAAGAGCGGTCGGTCTCTCTCTTTTTCGACTCGGTTCCATCATATAACCTCCATTGGCAAGATCATGCATACAAGTACATCAGCATGACCAAGACGTGGAAACGAATTGACGAGTTTTCGGAGCACCGTTCGAGTGTAGATATGAGGAAAGGAATACTATCTCCAGGTGAACAACCAGTAACAATTGCTGTTTTAGACACCGGTATTCTATCCTCGCATACCGCCTTTATGTCTGCCGATGACGGCCCTAAAGGCTACGGGAGAACGATTAAGGTGAAGAACTTTGTGCCTTCCAGCTACGGGTCATACGAAAACGATGAGTGGTTGGATCGGAACGGTCACGGTACCCACTGCGCGTCCATCGCAGCCGGTGGCACTTTCAGAGCGTGGATCCCGGAAAACAAGCAGGAGGGGGCACTCCCGTCAAGGGAGTGTGGGGACATCGAATGCGGGGTAGCGCCCTTTGCTACACTCGTCGTAGGAAAGATTGCCACAACCAAAGGTTTTTCAAAGCCAGAATGGATGGCGGAGGCTCTAGATTGGATTGTAAATCTTGAACGTGAAGATAACATAAAAGTGGACATAATTTCCCTGTCAGTGGGATATGCCAAATTTTCAAAGCGTTTGTTCGATTCAGTTTGCCGCACTCTTCTTGCGGGGAAAGTTATCGTATGCGCGTCAAGCAATGACGGCAGGCGCCAACAAACAAACATCAGTTTTCCTGCGAGATTTGGAAATGTTCTCTGCGTTGGAAGTCATTCCAAGAAGGGACAGCCGTCTGAGTTTTCTCCAAATGGCCGAGAGATCGACGTTCTAGGTCCGGGTGAAGATGTTTGGGCTGCGCTGTCTGCCAATGAGCATGGTGCTGTGTTCCCGTTCTCGGGGACTTCAGCTGCCACGCCCTTTGTGGCAGGTGTGTGCGCTCTGATTCTGGTAGCTGCCCAGCGCATAGGTGAGACTTACGTTACGTATACGTATTTTTGTGTGTCACAATTAATTTAATGTTGTGAATGATAATTATCACGCGGCGCACTCTTACAAACATGCAGCGTATTTTGTTGTACCTGGAATAGAGTAGTTGCAAATAAATATATGAACTTATAAAACATCAAAATCAATTTCATGAAGTAATTTCTGCATATGATTGACTCACTTTTTTGCTTTTGAGAAGTTTGTTATTTGATTTTTATCGATTCATATTTGAGAAATTCTGATACGAGAGGTTATCAACAATTTACATATTTATTTATCATTTCCTTTCTTTATTATTATTATTTTAAAAAATGTTTTTTAATAATACCAAAATTACGAAATAATGAAAATGTGCTTTCATCTTTACAGGCGGTGAGACCCTACGCAGCAGAGTGTCGAACACGAGCATGATGCGTGAAATCCTCCGCAAGATGGCGACAAAGCCCGGTCACCATGACGAGTCAATGGGCTACGGGAACGTGGATCCTTGGAATGTATTTAACTACGGGAATGCTTATTTCAAGAGAATCATTGACGATGTTCTCGAGTTGGATGACAATTCAGCACCAACGCGTGTAAAACAACTACCAGAATAGGTGACCGGTGGGGGAGGCAGAACTCTTACTTTGAATGGACTATCACGGCTGTACAAAATACAGGATACAAAAAGACCTAAAAAGAGTTATAAGACTGACTACATAGCGCGCAAAAAATTTTGTAGTCAAACATTTCAAACGAGAAAGAAAAGAGTATTGCGCATTCTTTTATTATTATTTTTTTGAACATTTAAAAAAATTTTGCATTGCGTATCTTTAACGTGCTAATGTCAAATGTATCAGTTAAAATAGTGATTCAGGTAGAAAAAAATCAGTTCTTTATAAAGAAGTTAACCAGAAGTGATTTTCAATAAGAATAAATCAGCGATTATTCTTCATTCAACATTTGTTGTAAAATAAATGACTCACACTTTCACTAATTACAGATAATAATCAAAATTGAATCAAACGAGTAAAAGTTTTTGAGTGTAAGTTAAGTTTCACCAAGAGTCAACAAGTGTAGAACATGTTTTAAGTGTCAGAAAAAGTCAAAGTCAGAAACAGTTTATGTGATTGGTTAATTTCATAACATATTTTAATTTTGATCAACTGTTTATCACATGATAAACGAGTTTTGGATAAGGTCCAAGCATGAGTAATTCAAATAATATTTTAGATATCTTTAATTGAAAAGAAGTATCTTAGGGATTGCCTTATAAGGAAATGTTGCACGGTGACTCACAACATGAGAATGGAAAATTCCTTGTAATCACGCAAAGACAATGGAAAAGAAAACAAGTAAATGCGTGATCAGTACGGAGAAATTGAGTATAAATATTTGTGATGTTGTATGAAAAAAAGTCGGTGAATAAACGTTAGAAAGCTCCAGACCGCTGTCGTTATATTTCTCATTCTAACAAGTGGTGGAGGAAAAATCGATCCCCGCTCTACCGAGGCAAGCGGAACGGCGATACAGTTATAGTGATGACGGCAGCAGGAGCGTAGACACCGATGGGTTCACACCATCCACCCAAGGGCAAACATCGTCAGTGCCCCAGTGCAGAGAAAACTGAGTATGCTGGGTATTGAAAATTGCCATAAGTCATTATCTTAGCAACAATGAATAGCTGAAAAAAAAGACGAAGATGTCCTCAGATGTTAATAACATATTGCATATTGCAAGTATTAAATGTCTGAAGTATTATAAATATAAATCTATTTGGTTTATTGATCTTATGATTGTTGGTTATCGATATTTGAACAGATGATTATTGTTATATAAGCAATGTATATAACTTTTGTAATAATGATGACATGAAACTGATGATATGCATTAAGGAAGATTCTCACATTTTGCGACTTTCTTATTTATCAGTATAAGTTTAGTGGATTGAATTTGATGTGAACAAAGCGTTTCTCTTATAGTCATCACAGAGGATAGCTACAGTGTGGACAAATACGAAGATAAACAGGTACTTCATCATGAACGCTGCGCTGGTCGCAACGTTGTGGTGATTGCTATTCATTGGACAGGGGAGGGCCGACCCAATATTGTCTCATGTAGTGCATTCCTCCTATGTCTTAAATGACAACCGAAAGAGCAAAATGTATGATAAAGTGTGTCAGAACCATAATAGGAGAGCAATATATTATCGATATCCGCATGAGAAAACTAATAAAAAGTATCTGTGCTCTTGGACTACACGTCAAATGGTGTAAATGACAATACGAACTATCTCCACGAACAAATACATTTCCATAAAAAGTTATTAATTATTCTTTCTTCAACTTATATTTTTGGTTTCATGTCGAATGTGTTTTTAATTTTATGTATAAGTTACTTAGAATTAATTTATTTAGTTATATTTCTGTACGACTTTATGATAGAAATGGAGTGTTTAAGGAAAATTATTTTTTTATAATTATTATTTTTTTAATTTGATTTTGCAGAATATGAAGAACTTGCGTATAACATTTACACTGATGACAACCCTGTAACCTTGTCATTTCAGCTTTTTAAACATTTACGTATTTAATGTTATTTAGTATTTGCTTTGCTTTTAAAAAAGGATGAAAAAGGAGCGTATGTTGTAAAGCTTTAGAATTCGAGGACGAATTCTTTTGAAGAAGGGGTGTATGTTGAAACGTAAATGATTCACTCTTTCACTAATTACGGAGTACGGAGAAATTGAGTATAAATATTTGTGAAGTTGTATGAAGAAAAAGTCGGTAAATAAACGTTAGAAAGCTCCAGACTGCTGTCGTTATATTTCTCATTATAACACATTCAATACTGAGGATTGTTTACTTCTAATATTTCGATGTGTAATGAGTGTTTTTTCTCGTGGAATGAAGTAATCATGGTGAATAACCTTTATCCAGGTAAACATTTTTTTTCGTTTTCAAATTTTGCAACATATTAATGAAGGGATCACGTTTAGGTGAAATATATACCAAAATTCACATATCACCATCTTAATAGTTTTCATGTTGAGAAAAGCAATGAATAGATTTTAATCATTAAAACACCATTACGGCTTTGAAGAATTTCATGATCACTGCATGAACATATGTTCAATGTAATTACATTTCACCAATAACTGATAACTATTTAAGACTTCCCCAGTCTTTTTGTCCATCATTTGATAATAATAATAATAGTAATAATAATGACAATAATGATAAGTATTCAAAAACAATACTAAGATCATGAGGAAATTGACTCGTATACTAGATCTTATGTTTGAATCGGAGGTCACAACGTTTCGACCTTATCACAATTATCTTGGCCTTCCTAATGTGAACTGATGTTGAGTTGTGACTGGTGTCACGTGGTGGCAGTCTGCGGGAGATGTTCCCAGGGGCCCGTGTAACGAGGGTCCGTATAACGGAAAATCCGCCCTCCATTTAATTATAATTTTTAGGTTATCCCGACCTTGGGTCAAAATGTAGGGCGAGGCTTACCTGTACAAATTAATGGGAAGGGGACCCTCTATCATGAAGGGACTGACTTTCTGTCACGTATCATAGATGTGATAGTTGATATCTCAGGCCACTGTGCTTGTTGAGGGTGGGTTTTTTTTTCAATCTCTTCATGAATGGTCTCACTCCTTGACTGAACTAATCCTCCTTTTTATCATGATTTCAAACGTAAAACAACATAAGAGTCAATTTGATTATGATCTTAATATAATACAACTGGATGAATAAACAGTAAGAGTTGTCTATGAAAAGATTATTCTATAAATATTTAAAGTAAAAAGAAACCCTTGCAAGTAAAGCTAAGCAATTTCAATTATTAAAATAGGCCACTGGTATGAAATTCATCCTTATCTAAAAGCAATGCAGAATGAAAAAATAAGTGATTAGTCTTATTCGTATTTCTTATGTTCGTCATTCTGCCAACCCCAAATGCGCCTTCCTCGTCTTCACTGAACTGAATCATGAATTTTAAGAAAAGTACACGGTTTGGCAAAGCGTATTTATTTTTCTGAAAAGGAACTGTTATTATGAGTAATTTCTTCACTTTACCTTGCAAATTATTTTGTATTCGACTGACGAATCCTCAATACCTCGCTGGTTAATACATAGGACAGGTAACAATGCTGCGAGGGGCAGATTTATACAATAAAAGTGGGTCATGCAAAATTCCCTCCTGTCGATTTTATAAACTTCCGCATTTAGTTAACAGACCTTATATACAACAGCTACACAGAAAACATATGACTGCGTGTCATTATGGGGTTCCATGTTACCCAAGTGTTACTGGTGATATTGTGTTATAAAGAAGTACTGCAGGTGACGGCCGCAGGTATGTTGTCTACTTTATTCTCGTGTGGGTATACGTGCGCATGTTTTAAATAGAATATGCCGTAAAGTTGAGCAGGAATATCACCCTCACGCTTTCGGAAAATTTGATAAGTAACACGAACGTTAATGCATTCTGTTTGTATTTTACGAACATGAAGGGGGTTCGATAAATACAGGCACTAATATATGGTTGTATATTATGTATCGTTAAGTAGCATACAGTGCATGAGTAATGTTAATGTCTGCGCTTTCGAGTGTATATGTAGGACACAAAAAAGTGTTTTAAATGACAATCTTATATGACAAAATGTCGTTTGTTACGAAGTTCTTCTCTTCGCAACTTCACTAGCGGATCTAGCGTTAGGGGCACAGTGGTTATTTGTCCCTCAAATAGCTGGTGTAGTACGCCCTTCTCTCTCCTTAACCCTTAAAAAGTGAAACGAGTCAAACAAAAACCCATCATTTTTCCATCACTTTGCTCTACATATCATAGTAAAATGTCCTGATCTACTGTTACTCCCGCCGGTGTATTTACATGAACGAAGTGAGGCCAAATATGTTATTCTTGTGCTCCCTTTTCCCTATATCCTGGTTCCACCATCTTTTCAGCACCATTCTATTAAGGTTTTTTCACGGTGGCGGTTGTAGGATAAGTAGGCCCTACATGTCAACAAGTACACAAGTTTTTTCTAGTCTTTTTTGTTTTCACAGCTTACCTAAAAGAGAAAATGTTTTAGATTCTATTGATTTAAAATCGTCTCGTTTCCTTAATGCACAACCCGTTTCAGGTACATGTTACCTGTGGCTATTCAGACCGCGAGATATCGGACGCTACGAAAAGACGGAACTGCTGGGGTTTTACTATAGAAATGGCACCATGAACAATATGCCAAGATACATGAAAACTCATAGCCAAGGCGGTACGTCTCACTTTGAGGTCGTGTACACTAAATCTCAGTGGATCATCCAGGAGGGCACGTCGGTAGTCCATGCTCGTTCAGTCCCTACTGCAGTTGATCTGATAGAAACGGAGTTGTCCTCTCCATGGCAATACTTTAAGAGTGGTTGGGTTAACTTCACGGGAGGGTTTCATTGTTTTAGTCGAGGTAATCTCTCTGTAGATTGCTGTCAATAATTAGGCTTTTGATCTGATCCTTGTATGGGCATGTAAACGTGTTGCCCCTTAGTATGCTTCCATAATTACATGTAGTTTGAAGCTGCTCTGTAAACTTTTTGACAACTTTCAGTTCTGCATCAGATCAGTTGATAACAAACACGCTCTTGATCACCATACAGTACATGTGTTTTCTGCCCTTTTTGTGACTCGCTAAAAGGGAATTTTGGAAGGTATTAATTGTACAGGTATATGCCCTATTTTTTTGGTGTGTGAAGATATCGTTATTCTTTTACCTTTCAGACATTTCACTGCCGTCTCACTTTAACTTAACAGTATATCCTGACCAAACTCCAGCACAAAATTCGTATCAAACATCTACCATCCGGCAGTGTCTAGATAAAATTTCAACTGGTCAATGTGTAAGCGTCACATGGAAGCCGTATGTTAGCCTTTGTGATTGCTTCACAAGTGCAAATGTATGTGCAATGCCATTGGACACTTTACAGCCGGGACAACTACTTTCAAGTGACATCGCTATTAACATTGACACCGCACATTGTCGCCGAGAAGGTAATATCAACTGTTAATGACGCTTGTTAAATAAAACTCCTCCCACCCCCGAAACACACACACACACACACACACACACACACACACACACACTATACAGGTAATATTGGATAACTGTACTTGTTTGATATCCTCTGAATACTTCTAAGATAATGACTTTATTTAGCCTCAGTATTTCGATAGGTCAGCAGTGTACCAGTCCGGTGTGTGACGACATGTGTATTGTAGTAAACCATACCCACTTCTGTGGGTGCAAAACAGGGCGGCGGTTAACGAATGGAAGTCACTGTGAAGGTAATTCTCTGAAACATCAGCATGCCAAGTATACCCTGGTGAATTTTCAAACATTAACACGTACGTGTTGATAATAGTAGGCTTCCAAGTAACTTGGTTACTTAATGATAATATAATGCAATTTGAAGTATGTTTTCAGGTACAGATGAATGTCAGTTTTACGCCGACTGTCATGTTCACCAAACGTGTTTATCAAACCACTATTGTTATAATACCTGCAACCAAGGGTTCCATCCTGTCCTAGACACAAACTCAGGCAACAAAACATGTACGAGTAAGTACTAACTGAAGGGTGATTATAAGGCAAATTACACTGGTCCACAAATTCAGGACACATTTCTTTTTATAGCATTGCGAGGTACATGCACTACAAAATCCACGCACGCTGCAGTAATTGGCGTTTTCCTTTTAAAATCATTTAATGTAAGGCCTATGAAATAAGAGAATATGGAGTGGGTAAGAACACTTATTTCATCAAAGTACATTAAAAGCGCAATGAAAATGCTTTTTTTGCCACAAACTATAGTAATTATAAAATGTTTATCACTCACGTGGAATAATGCAATGGACCGTCGGTCATCTTTGTCAGTCCCCGAGTGACACAAATGACGTTGTGTAACATGGTCGACTACAGGGTATTTGATGCTGCCCGCCCCCTTCTTAGTGACGAGGCTAAGAGATCATCCTTCAGGTGCCGGGAGTGTTTCTGCCTTTGTCTTTGTTACGATTTTTCGGTGTTTTCCGGATCCATATGACTTCCTTTATTTTTGTAGTTCTCAAGTCACTTTGTTTTGTAGAATTCTTGCACTCTCGCAGTTCATAATATGTTTCTGTTTACTTGTATGGTGGAGCCGTGATGGCTGATTACCACCTTTCTTGTGTGGATTGTTTCCTTTGTGCTGTGATGTAATTTTTCCTTCATTTACTTTTTAACGTCTTCCCCGTGTTCCTCCGAAATTTAACTTTATGTCTGAAATTTAACTTCCAATGTATTATTCTTCACAATTGGGGCATTTGATAAAATAAACCCTATCTGCTGGATCTAGTTTGTCTTTAGGAAATATTTAAGGTTAGTGGTTAAAATTTTGTTTTTTTTAATTAGTGTGTGACAAAAGAGTTATTTCATTTTATGATCTACCAAACTGATGATTTTTTTTAAACATCTACATAGAAATAAATTCAACAAAGATTTGATTACTCTTGTGCAATTGTTTTGTTCTCCTAGGCAAATGTGTCGTACCTGACAATGCCGTGAACGCCACGCGGGAGAAGTCAAATGTGACTTATGTGAATGTTGGCGAAAAAATCTTGTATAACTGTATTCCAAACTTTACACTGTCGGCTGGTAGTTTAACAAGAACATGCATGTTTGACTTCACGTGGACTGGAGAGCCCCCATTATGTTTGGGTAAGCAAAAGCAATTGCAGAGTTCAGCAATTTAAATGTGAAAGTAGAAAAAAATGTTTGATGTCAAAAGCAGTCTCCTTTTCTTAATTTATACACAATAATTCATGAGCCAAATGAAGTATTAAAAATAAAGAAGATCATCTTTATGTAAACAACTGCTACTGGAGAAAATCCTTATACTGGCAGGTTCATCACACAACACCATAACTTCAGAAGATTCCACAACACTTTCAACGGTCTACTCGTCTACTGGAAACAATACCTCCACAGGTGAGATGAAGCGGGTATCACGGTACTCTCGGCTATTGGAGTTTGTATTTAGACTGATTCATTTATAAAAATCATAAACAATAAAGCAGGGAGAATCTTCAAGAATTTCTTCATCTTTTATCTGTAATTGTTTAAGATTATGCAAGATGATTGTTTTTCGATTTTCAATGTACTGCCTGATTTTTGTAGTTCACGTACAGTACGTGATTAATCTTTTACGCACTTGATCAGGTATAACAGGCATCCGTGATACCACCACACCTATCCATGGAGGACGGTCCACCGAAGATACTTTATCATCAGGTGAGCTTGTATCCCTAAAACTTGAATTGCCATTTAAAAGAAATGTAATACATTGCATACATTATTTAAAACAAGAAGAGCATTCATCTAGCACAGACCTCCGGCAAGGTAGCCCAATACTCTTTATCATTTTTTACTTATTAAATTAATTGATCAATAATTTAATAAGCTTAGATAATCTCTTTGGCGGAGCTCAAATTCAGCAAAACTTGGTAACGATGCATGATATCCAAACTTCGCGCTGATTAATTGTGGTAGTTGAGAGCACATTCGCCCTAGCAAAGAACTTTAGCTATAGAAAATCCCCGGATCTAGACGCTGATCTGCCTCAACACCAATTTCTTGGTTTATCCTGAAATATTTGTCAAAATCTACCCATGACTTTTTGAGTTTGACTGGTGACAAACAAAAAGATTCATCTCGAGCTTCAAAGAGGGTAGAGAATACCTTTTGTGTTCCGCGTGATTAACCTTATTTTTTCGAGCGTGGTGCGTTTTGAGCCCAACATCTGCGTGGAAAGTGATTCAGGAATTTGATTGGTGATTGGCCTGAATATATCTTGGCGATTGGTGATTGAGCTGTTTTAATCTTGGTGTTTGCTGATTGTAGGGGGGGGGGGGGGGTATTCCCTACTCTATTCAAAGAGTGTAAGGTCTACATCTGATACCAAAATTTGACTGTGATTTACTTTGATCTGCATAAGTATCTTCCTGTAAACACTATACAGTAGGAATCTAAGAAAGGCCTTATATTAGTGAAATGAAAATTGAAAATTTCAACACTACTTAAGTGTTATCAACGCATTATAAAAAAAAATCTTTCAAGCCGTTGTAACTGAGTTAAATATACGTTTTGTGTAATTTTCAGTTATGGCCCTGGGGATCGGGATTGGTATTGGAGCATTTTTACTGATGTTGTTGGTTATTATAATTGCCCTGCTGTGTCTGCGACGGCGCAAACGGTAAGGGTTTATTTAGTCATTGTGTCTGATACTTGCCCACTTTTAAAAACGTTTTATTCTGTGATTACTTATTTTTGTTATATTAACATTTGTTCGTTCTTTTTACTTTTTAAATATGTACATAAACATGCATAACATCAAATTTTGATTCGTTTTCTTTTTTACCATACAGGCGCAAAATATATTGCACACAAAAGATAATTGGTTGCCATGCTTAGTTTTAATTATTTTCCATATTTTTATCATAAGAAAAAGAGACACGAATCCTGCTGAAAATTTAAACCTTCCTGTAACCCGAGTAGAGAATGACTACTCTCCTTATCAACTTGCAACAGATTCAAATGTGGATATTGCAGTGCATCAAAGTGGCCGGCTAGGTGAAGAACCTTCCGAACAACAAAACAACGTGATTCCTTGCTTTAAAGAGACCATGGAACCAGCAGACACTAACGTCTACCTTGTTTCGAATGATATGTACGCTTCTACGGGGGAGAGGGTGCGTAATGGTCAGCATAACAACTCAGATCAGAAAGAAACTGCCGGTTTGGAGGAATGTGTCATGGTTGATAACGACATTTATAGTACAGAGTGATTCCGGTGACAGAAAAATTGACATAGTTTACGTTTATACATCGTTCTTTTTGTACGTATTTCATGTTTTTGAATGTTTTAATCCTCACCTGTAAACTATTGGCAAAAATAAATGTCACGCGCAGATTGCCTAGTAGCCAAAATGAACGAATTTTGGTCCACAGATGCGTGCAATATGGGTAATAAGGAACAATACAATGTTTCTTCTAACGCTTTTCAGTGCAACCTGACCCCTAAAAATGACTAAATGGAGAACAAAGGGGGTGTAACAGAAAAATAAAAAAAAGTAAAAATTCCCAACATATCCCCAAAAATCTGACATGCTAGTTAAAAAAACCAAGTCTTTGTTCTTGTACATGACATATATTTCGTCTAGCCGCCCTTTGTCTATATTTTTAGCAAAATCTACATAAAAGGTTTGCTCTTATTTTATTTTATTTTATTTATTTATCTATTATTATTATTATTATTATTATTATTATTATTATTATTATTATTTTTATTTTTTTGCAATTTCTAACTTTCCTAGATCCAAATAATACCCGTTTGTCAGTACTAGCTGTTTTTAGTCATGTGTGTGTCACAACAGGTCAGTTGATGGGCCATACAGTGTGCGTGGGATAGCTTTGTCTTATAGTGGTTACATTTATTATTCCAGGGCCTAAGGTTTGGTGTGCTTTTATCCATTAGATGCCAATTTTTGAGGAATTGTTTTTATATTAAACCAATGTAAGTAAATGAGAGCTATGTCAGCACAACAAGAATTCAAGCCAATTTAATAAATTAGAAAAAAATAAATAATACATACCACTCGTTTCATCATTTCTATTTATTATACAAATGAACAACATACAGTAGTTGAATTATTTGCCACGTAATATGTTGATTTGCTCTAATTCAAATTAACACCAAATGTGGTGCTTGTGGGGCTGCCTTCAGATGTGATTGATCAATTAGTTCAATAACACGACTCTCTAGCACCAGCGTTGATAGACCCGTAGTATATAACACTTGATGATATAAATTAGTGAGGTTTCGCCAAATGGAGTATATATGGTCCTTTTCATATCGAGATGGTGTTTCTGTACAGCACCAGTTTGACTGCATGTGGCATTACATTTACTATACGCTTCGGAGTCTTACTCCTATTCACAAGCCCTAATGTATCGGTAAAAATCAATACGAGTTCATTTAGGTGGTTTAGGCTATATTAACCAGATCTTTAAGTTGGCAATATTTTTATTTGCGAAGCGTGTCGATGAAATTGGGCTAGGTTCCAATTTTAATATATTTAATATAATTAAAATACCTTATTTGGGTGGTTCCCTTGGGCGAAGAACGAACTGTGAAATGGTTATCATAATATTTTTGTATGTTCAGTTAACGGGGTACCTACAATCCGCAATGGTATCATGTTGCGACAAATACTCATGCACACATATGCATGATTCAAAATTATACATGCATTTACTGTCTATAAAGATTTATCATAAAGTACATAAAACACGTGTACAAAGAAACACCAAATAAGTGTATCAAAATAAAGGGAGTCACTACATGTTTTGGATACTGGTTCAGATGATTAGGTCAGGTGTTCCCACGACATCAAACCCTGAGATCAGATTTTTTTTCTGTTACCAATTAAAATATAAAACTTTGTTGAAATATGGGTTTCTTTTACCATAGAATTCAATCTTTCTAGGTACATTGTAATAGATAGCCTCTTTTTCTGTCGATAACTTCCAAAAGAATGGACAACAAGTTTCACATAATTTAAAAATTACTAATGGGCACTATAGTTGTTAAATACCAAAGAAAAAAATCTGAACTTTGGGACAAATGCTGCTTTAATCTTCTTATTACATTTTTGTCTCAGCAGTGTGTTCCTTGCTAGAACTGTGTTTAGTATATGAATTAGAAAGGGAATTGCGCCATTTCTTCTTAAGCTTCCCACATATCTTGATATTGGCTAGAGTGTATAATATCGGGTTCATGGCGGAGTTGATAGGTAAGATAAAGACTGCGACCCAACTTGAGACCTCAGGACTAATTGGGACGCCTGCCATGCTCAAAATCCCCAGCACCGTAACTGGGGCCCAGCACAAAAAATCAGTAATCAAAATCAGGGATATCTTTTTTAATAACTGCACATCCCTATCTGTCTCCTCTCTCCCTGAGTGCTTGCGTGATTCGTACACATATTTTAAAATTGCAACATACGCAGAAAACATGAAAAGAAAGGCAGCAAAATTGAAAAATACGAATATAACATAGGCGTATTCCCTGCCCCCGAACTCAACCCTGCTCAACGTGAACGGTAAACAGACCGAGTTGTGCCCGTAAAAATCTTTGAAATACCCCACTTCTACGAGAGGAGCTGCACTTAAAATCAGAAATAACACCCAACTAACACCAGCCATCAGTAAGCTTTTTTTCGTACCAATCTTTTTCATCTTCATGGCATAAACGATAGACACCAGTCTATCCGCCGTAATTAAAACTAAGATCACCACGGACATTTCACTGGAAACCATGGACATAAACCCTGCAAATTTACACATACCACTAGACATCCATTTGACAGCATGTGAGGCATATATTCCACGGTGGATTGTATCCGCTGCGGCTATAATGATAAGATACACCCCCATGAAGAGATCCGCCAATGCAAGGTTCATGACCAGTATACTAGAGGCAGCAAATTCTTTCTTTCTTAGCCAATATATGAGCACGACTGCATTACCCAAGCATGCCAAAATTCCCATAACCCAAATGGATACCTGCAGAAATTGATTTTGCAACAGGTCGGAACAGGAGGAGAACTCGTCTTTTGGTGGAAAACAAACGTCAACTTTACCTTTACGCTGAGCCAGGCAACAAATGCCAAATTGGTCTGCCTTTAACAAGTCTGCCTGAAATTCTATAAATGCGTCAGGTTCAACTAGTACGTCCTTGTTACCGGTCATATCTAATTCATGCAGCCTTGGCAGACCCTTAAATGCACCGTCTGCCACGGACGACAATGTGTTAAAGCTTATATTAAGAACAGATATAGTCTTCAAGCCCCTAAAAGTATTTTCGGCCAAAGTCTGGATGTTCAGGAAACTGAGGTTTAAAACTTTCAAATTACTTAAGCCTTCAAATGAACCCGGTTCTATGTGTTGCAATGGGTTCCCTTTAAGTATCAGGTTCTTAAGATTGACCAGTCCGGTAAAGCAATTAGCGACAAAATCCGTTATCTGATTGTAAGACAGATCCAAATCTATAACATTGTTCAAGTGTGAAAATGCCCCTGGGGGAATCATTTTCAAATTATTGAAACTTATATTCAATCTAACTAATAAGAAGTGTCCATTAAATGTTTCATTGCTAAGGGAGAGATTGTTTCTCGCAAAAGCCAGTCCTCTGATATCGGGAGAGTACTTTGGTATGGAACTTAGTCCTTGCCCCGTACAGTCCAGAAAGTATCCTTTGTGCTTGCAACTACTGGGTAAGGTCGCATTTATATCACAGAAAACTTCGTCGTCATTCGAATGTATACAATTCACTACACCATTGCATACCTCACTCTGGTGCAAACACTGTCGTTCTCCTCTACACCGAAGATGACCTGGACACGTATAATTGGTGCATCTCGCCTCATCCTCGTCTTCCCCGCGAGGACAATCTTTTTCTCCGTCGCAGACCTGTCGCAGTGGAATGCAGTATGTGTTCGAACACTTAAACATACTGGGGCATTCATACGTCTGGCACTGCTGAAGATGCTCAAAATGTCTGCACGTGTTTAATGCTTTCACTTGCTCTTTATCATGAATGCAAGCTAAGTGTCGTGGGAAGCAACTTGTGTGACCAGGGGTGCATCTAATTTGGTCAAGAGATGGACAGTACGTTAGGTTTATCGGTCGAGCGAATATGCCCACTCCGCAGTTGGTTTCACCCTCATTTGGCATGGCAAGCACAGGCTCGTCCTCCTGGGAGAAGCCCGGACAGTCAGGGTACCGGTCGTCGATACTTTTAGCGGGCACGCATTCACCCGTATAGCACTGGAAGCCATTGGCGCATGCGTCCAGTTGTGTTGAGTTCACTGGGGAAGAGCCGAGGTGAGAACCGTCAGGGTTTTTGAGTCCACGACTCAGATTGCATGGGGAAGCTGTGTTTTTGCATTGTCCATGAGGGCATATATTCTGTTTTTCATTGCAAGCTGGAAATAAGCACCAGTCTTCGTCACTTCCGTCTGCGCAGTCAGACACGTGATCACACACCTTACTTATAGGAATGCATGAAGCGTTCGTGCAGCGAAAGCTATCTGTACCACAAAAACAATTGAGTTCGTCCTCTCCGCGTAGACAATCATTTTCCCCGTCGCAAATGTTTCTCACAGATATACATGTCCCGTCACTACACCGGTACTGATGTGTGGAACAGTCTTGTTTTTCTGATAGCACAGCCGTCTCGCAGAGAGCAAAAAGAGAACCTTGTGTTGTGTCAGACATGCAGTTGTTATATGGCTGTGACATAAACCATCCGGGCATTTGTCCAGGCATTGACGAGCGTGCACATGCTCCGGAAGGCAGTCGGAACCAAGGGGATTCAAAATGAGAAAACATTTTGGCATTTCTTTCGGTACCAGATCCTAAGATGGCGCTCTGGTTCACCCACTGGGTTTCTTTGGCCCAGATCCTATGATAATATTGTATAAATTCGCTACTCGAGAATGAGAAATCATCGAATATTGCCACTTCTCCCCCGATAGATTTGCACCTTTCTACTGCACTTCTAAAAGTGAGATTGTATTTACCTTCTGTGAACCAGTGGTAGGATCGGGAATACGTGAGGTATTTAGTTTTATCCGTCAGGGCTATATGAAGCAATCCGAAATTATCTAGTCGATACAAGTGAAAGCATCGCCCGCTGATGTACACCCATTTCTCGGGGCAGTAATGTCTTAATGTGAAAGACTCTTTACTTTTCAGTGCACTTATATTCGTTGTTGGGACCAGAGCTATGTGGGGCAGATTCGTCGTTGGTTGGTTCAGTCCGACGTCCAAAGGATTGGCTGCTTTTTTGCAAACGGAGCTCATGCAGCAAATAGGTCGCTGGCAAGGTGTTTTAGCCCAGTTTGCCCACCGACTTTTCCCATGTGGATGTCCTTTTTCTGGATAAAAAGGCATCATTAACGAGCACGTAAGAGTACGGTCTGGAACCGGTTGTAAAAGGTATTCCATCACAACAGCTTCAACGAAATCGGGAATATCGTATTCATTGAATCCGTATTTCACAGGCCCGTACCATTCTGCATATGTATACGCACTCCCATCAGTCCAGTTGAATATATTTAACTGAAACAAATATTGATTTTAAAACCAAAACAAAATCCGTAGGGGCATATGAGAAAACAAGGGGATAT